GATTTGCGCTGGCGTGTCATTTTATTACATTTTATTGAGTTTTTGTGCAACAAGGACGAGAATTTGTTTTGGGACCAGATTGCGACCAATCACAGCGGACCACTGGCCCCCACTTTCTTGAGAAAAGAAAGTCTCGTTCCTCTGCACTTTGCGGTTCTATCATTTAGGGGTGTGACGATTTATTTATTTATTTTTTACTTTTTTTTTTTTTGAATTGGTATCAATATTAATATATGGCTACATTACGCATCTCCATTCTATTTATCATGAAATAAAGAGTATTTTTTCTTTTATTTATGCCATAAATTGGCATATTGTATATTTCTGACCAATATATCAATAATCGTCATATCGTGATAATATTGTTATCGTGATATTATCGTCATCGTGAGCTGTGTATTGTATCGTATCCAGTGTTGGGCACGTTACTTTGAAAAAGTAATTAGTTATAGTTACTAGTTACTTCTCCCAAAAAGTAACTGAGTTACTAACGGAGTTACTCCACTATAAAAGTAACTAGTTACCAGTAAAAGTAACTATTGCGTTACTTTTTCGTTTTGTTCTGGAACATAATGTGCATTCGACGTGCACAGTTTTACCTTTAACCTCAGTGAGTCTGAAATAGTGCCAATATTTCCATCTAGAAAAGGATGTTTTGCTGCTGAAGTCCTGTTCACTCTCCATCTCTCTCTGTGCTGTAAGCACTAAACACCAACACCCGCCACTGTGAATGTGGAAACACCGGTGAAGCACTGACTTCAGTCCAATCAGATGAGCATATATATCATAGAAATCAACTGGACCTAGAGAGCGGCTTATTTGTTTGGCTACAGCAGAATACGTTTCATGCCCGCATTGTTTGTTCATACAAAACGCAAAACGAAGAGTTATGGGTCTTACCTTATAAATGACCTGCACAGACCACTTCGCTTCAGACCAGTTCCATGTTTAAGTCCAGATAATAGTTTGAGCGTAGATATGTAATCCTCCATTTGGAAATGAGTCCAATGAGTTTTAAAAAGCAAAACAAAACGCGTGTGTCCTCCATAAACTCCTCTGTTTCGCTGCAGCCGGGTGCATCCGATTTCTAAAATCAACCTTCTTACACTTCACCTTTCTTTCTTATCATTCCTATAGTCATTGAAAAATTACCCTAAGTGCATTTTAAACGATCTTAAATATGTTATATGTATGTTAGCCAAACCTGTTGCTGTCCTTAGCAGATAAACCAGGAGGAGAAAGGAGCTTATCCATGGAATTGTATGCAGCCGACTTCTGCGCTCACATGCGCTCCTCTGAGGCTGGCCTCACGGTGATACAAGCCGTGGTAGAGTGTGATTAAGACCCATATTTGTTTCAAAAACACAATTTATGAGCAATCCTCTCAACTGTAGACATGTAGATTGTAAAGGAAATATGTTTTACATCAGCCAATAACATCTGAGAGGTTTTCTCATCCTCCCTTCTCTCATGACAACACGCGCACGAGTCCTATCATGAAGTAAAAAGAGAAGTTCATTGTGCGTCTTGAGTAACGCGCAGTAACGGGATGTCGGAAATGCTAACGGCGTTATAGTTACAGTCAAAGTAATTAGTTAGATTACTCGTTACTGAAAAAAGTAACGGCGTTAGTAACGCCGTTACTAGTAACGCCGTTATTCCCATCACTGATCGTATCGTGAGGTACCCTTAGGTTCCCACGCCTACTATCATTCTATGGTCACGCTATCCACGTTCAAATTTGCGATCCATATTGTGAGACGTGAGCTTCGTAAACAGAAGAGCGAGGCCAGCGCTCACATTTGAAAATTTCACAAAGTGAGTCAGTTTAGCTTTAAACTAAACTAAGGTTGATTAGAAAGCATAAGAGATCTGCCCCCTTTGATCCTTATAAAATGATTGACGTTTTTGGAAATCCTGCAAGGATACACGGACTCAGATCAGATCAAGGCAAGACGTCTTGTATTTGAGAAATGGCTAATGTCCAGACAGAACGCTCGCCTTAGTCTTTCTTGTATTACTTGTGTTAATTTTTAAATTAACTTTGATTTAAAAATGTATTGCATTAAAGTGATTGTCTGGAGTTTGTCAGAAAAAAGAGAGAGAGGTATTTGAAAAAAACAACCCAAGCTCCCTCCCCCTTCCTTTCTGATTGGTCTATGCCTACGTTTCCTTAACACATTTAAATGTTAACCTGAGAACACATTATACTTATACATTATTAATATACATGCACGGAGGTTTTCAGAATTATTTGTTAACGTTTTCATGACAAAAAAAATGTTTTAATGCACGAAAAAAGCGATCGCGGTAAACCCAGAAGTAGCTATTAACGTGGATTGAACATTATAGGACACATCTGCAGAGGATCTGATGATGGATATGGGTTCAGTATATAAATGGGTAATTCAGCGCGGATGTTCAGAATTCTTTGTTAAGTTTTCATGAAGTTCCAGAGCCTATTGGCTTGATTCGGAGGTACCGCAAAAACAACTGAGCATGCTCGCAGCTACGAGCATCAGCCCCGATGATTGACAACCCTTGGCATCACTTGGTTGGTTAATGTGGACGGCATCGTGGACTTCTTGCTATAGCTAAGAGAAGGGAAGGCGGGACTTAACCGTAATATTAGAATTCATAAAATTACTTATTTCATATCAATATTTAAGGCCAGGAGGTCAATTTAACACAATTCTTAAAATTTGTAATTCATTTAGAGTTCCAGACTATCACTTTAAACATTTATATATTATGATTGATATTTCTGATGTATTAACCACATATCTGATTGTGTTTCGCCTAGATTCTTTTTATGATGTGTTTTTATACTGGTTATAATGGTATTCTCTCCCAGCAATCAGCATGTTTTTGTTTACATTCCCTCCCATCCCCCTTCTTCTGCTGTAGTCTTTCCAGGCAAGTGTCTTACATCAGATATAACAAGCTTTTGAAGCTTAGGACTCCCACAGTGGCCAAATATAGTAAACGTGAACCGAGCAGCTCTGCGCGTTGTAATGTGTGTGCATGTGTTCTCCGGAGTAAATGGCTCTAGGGTAAAAACGTGTTTGTTATTGTTCCCAGCACTTTGCCTGTAGACTACACTGCCAATTAAAGGGGAGGTTTTATGTGTTAAGAGCAGGAAGTGTTGTCGTGTGTGGCTGCACGCTATTGGCTGCTCGATTTTTTTTCTCATGTTTCTTCCCCGAGGACTAAGCAGCATTTACTGCCATGCCCAAATGAAAGGTAAACACAGCACACCTTTGATCAGTCTTTGCATTTAAAAGCCATACTGGAACCATGTGTGTTGAGTATCTTTGCTCCTGTGTGTACCAAATATAAAAGTAGACTGTCATCTGCTCTTGCTGATCTTGTTACAAGCAACACTTTCTATGATGTTACCACTTCCTCCTTTTGTTATGCAAGTTGTAGTAAAATCATGCCTTCCCCCCACCCCATTTACTTAACATGAAAACAAAAAGTGTTATATGAATGAAAGTGGGAGGAGTTAAGTGGCCTACAAAGGCAGGCAGATAGAGCAAGACTTGTGTGGAGCAGATGAGACTCGGCGGACTGAGGGAGGGCATGAATGCATTGTAAAGCTCATCAGAGTAGGCATCACAGCTTTTGGCATCCAGGCATAGATTTGTTGTTTATACTGTGCTTAAAGGGACAGTATGTAAGATTTTACATTACATATTCTATTTGTGTCCCCAGACATGAGGTACAAATGTACAAATGGTGATGCCAGGTGTTCTTAATTCCAATAAAACAATAGATATGATGGCCACATTATTTTTGTAAACATTTATTCGTTTGGTTCTCAAGTTGAATTTCCAATCATAAAGATTATTCAGCATTATCCAGTTGGTTTTGCTCTACCTAAGCACAGACATCAGAGAAATCATAACTTGTGTGGTCTTGATGCAGGTCGGTCAATAGACTAATGGTAATGACATTATCAAAGCAGTGAGAGTGCGAACATATAACATTGTTCGAGGGCATTGTTGAGAGTAGAGATGTCCTGATGGGGTTTCTGCGTTTTCCCCACCACCCGAAACATGCCCCATAAGTAAAATCCTCCAGCTTTAGTAGTCCTGACCATGCCGAGCATCAACATCTGAAGTTGGGTCCCCAGGCGCTGCACTGTGGCGACCACTGCTCTTGGATTAATCAAATGCAGTAGACAAATATCCTCTACATGGACAATAAAGACATATCTACATGCCATTCTAAAGTAATCTATATTTAGTCAAGGATGAAGAGTAAATTGGATCTCTATTAGAAACTCCTGCTTTGCCTGCCCCTTTCTGCCCCAGCAGGGCCAGGGTTAACCTTTGGCGTCTCTCCTCCCAACATGGAAAAGAGCATTGAATGGCTGCCACCCCCAGCAGCAAACACATTGGCTGAGGCTGAGGGTGGATCTGCGGCTGCTGCAACATTGTGGTCTGGATCAGGAGCTGGAGTGGTGCTGCCTCACGTTATGGGCCGCTCACATACAGTAGGACGCACACAGGGAGGAGGAGGAGGGGGAGGGGGAGGAGGAGGAGGAGGGGGAGGAGGAGGAGGAGTGCGGCAACCATCTGTGTCTCTGAGTAAAAAGTCAATATTAACTCTGTGAACAACATTAATGTTTTCCTTCAAATCTAAATAGGTTGTTCCAACATCCTCTTTTTTCTGGACAACTTTGAAGCTTAAATAGTCAGTTACTCTACTATTTACTATTTATAGGTCTTATGTTTGTAAAACAATTGACTGTCCATGAGGGCAGTCCATGAAGCTTTGTTCATAGTTTATCTTTTGCATCTCTGTTGGGATATATGAATACACAAAAATAAACAAACTCATGATCGAGTTGTTGAAATAATCCAAATTTAGCAGATATTATTCATCAATTAACCATTGAATAAGAAATGTTACATATTATAAAAACACAAAGAAAATTAGCTGTCCGTCACTTTATTTCCTTTGTTATAATGAAAATGTATTTGTTCTCTCCACAGTATGCTCAGACAGCTGCAAACACGGAGCATGTACATCCCGGGGCCAGTGCTGCCATGATCAATGTCTGGGTGGTTGCTCGGAGCCTGGTAATTCCAGCAGCTGTGTGGCCTGCAGAAACCTTCAACATGGAAGTACTTGTGTGGAGAAGTGTCCTCCTGGGTACTACGTCTTCAGAGGCTGGCGCTGCATTACCTTTTCCTACTGCCAGGTTTGATATTTATTGTTCTTATTCTGTCAGCCTGCATTCCCTTTCTCACCTATGGCCACAAGCTTTGGGTAATGACCGAAAGGACAAGATCGCACATACAAGTGGTCCAAATGAGTTTGTTCCAAAGAGTGTCCAGGTGCTCCCATAGAGAAAGGGTGAGGAGCATGGGAGGAGCTCAGAATAGAGTTTTTGCTCCTCCATGTTCAGAGGACCCAGCTGTGGCCTCAAGGATGCAAAAGTGTTCAGGCATGTCCCACAGGGAGGAGAGACACCAAGACGTAAACATAAAGACGTAACATGAAGTGGAAGAACATGTATAGGAAAATATTTACAATAAACACAAACATGTCTTATTTAGGAACTGCACAACCAGTGTCAACAAATGAAGATGAATCAGGACCAAGCCAGCTGCTCGGAATATGTCATCCACAACGGTGCCTGCATCCCAGAGTGTCCATCTGGATACACTACAAAAGACGCCTTTACGTGAGTGTGATGATGCTTCAGTCTGTGGGGTTCAGGTGTCGATTCTTGAGTGTGTGACCCGTAGGAATCCAACCTGGGAGTTAAGAAATCTAAACTGTCAGTCCATATGTTTCTGTTCTCACTTTGTTCCAAACCTAAATTCTGCACTGCAATTGGTCCATTTGTTTCAATTGTATTTTTAAGTTTTATCTTTAACTTCTTCATCTCCCTAGTCAGTCTTATTATCACAACAATACAATTTTGATGCATAGTTATATCCCATTCTCTTCCATAAATGTGTGTGCAGACTGACCTGTTCCCCATGTGCCGGCCGCTGTCCCAAATTGTGTGTGGGAAACAAAACTATTGACTCAGTAACTTCAGCCCAGGCTCTGAGAGGCTGCACTGTGCTCCAAGGCAACATGATCATCAAGATTCGAGGAGGCAGTAAGTGCACACCTCCCCCTACTACCTGTGCCCCATCTCAAAGTTTAGATCTATGTCTCCCCTCAATTTACAATGCCATACTGCAAAGTTACTCCTGTTTAAACGAGAAGTGAAACTCGGATAATTAATCAAAAGTCCATTTAGTCCATTTACTGCTTTGGTAATTCAACCTACAATATGAAACTAAGCAGATGCAGTACACGCAAAGTGACATACAGTGCCTTGCGAAAGTATTCGGCCCCCTTGAACCTTTCAACATTTCGCCACATTTTAGGCTTCAAACATAAAGATATGAAAAAAAAAATTTTTGTCAAGAATCAACAACAAGTGGGACACAATCGTGAAGTGGAATGAAATGTATTGGATAATTTAAACTTTTTTAACCAATAAAAAACTGAAAAGTGGGGCGTGCAATATTATTCTTTGAGAAATGGCTTTCTTCTTGCCACTCTTCCATAAAGGCCAGATTTGCGCAGTGGACGACTGATTGTTGTCCTATGGACAGACTCTCCCACCTCAGCTGTAGTTAGAGGCCCAGAGTGATCATGGGCCTCTTGGCTGCATCTCTGATCAGTCTTCTCCTTGTTTGAGATGAAAGTTTGGAGGGACGGCCGGGTCTTGGTAGATTTGCAGTGGTCTGATACTCCTTTCATTTCAATATAATTGCTTGCACAGTGCTCCTTGAGATGTTTAAAGCTTGGGAAATCTTTTTGTATCCAAATCCGGCTTTAAACTTCTCCACAACAGTATCTCGGACCTGCCTGGTGTGTTCCTTTGTCTTCATGGTTCTCTCTGCGCTTTAAACAGAACCCTGAGACTATCAAAGAGCAGGTGCATTTATATGGAGACTTTATTACACACAGATGCATTCTATTTATCATCATCAGTCATTTAGGACAACATTGGATCATTCAAAGATCCTCACTGAACTTCTGGAGTGAGTTTGCTGCACTGAAAGTAAAGGGGCCGAATACTATTGCACGCCCCACTTTTCAGTTTTTTATTTGTTAAAAAAGTTTAAATCATCCAATAAATTTCGTTCCACTTCACGATTGTGTCCCACTGGTTGTTGATTCATGGCAAAAAATTAAAATGTTATATCTTTGTTTGAAGCCTGAAATGTGGCGACATGTTGAAAGGTTCAAGGGGGCCGAATACTTTCGCAAGGCACTGTATATATCTATGTATAGGAAAAATAAATAATATATATGAGTAAATACATGAAATACTAATACATTGTGTAGGAGGCACATTTAACAAATAACTTGTGCAAACATGTCATTTCTATAACTCATAAGAGAATGATTAGGATTAGGACAGTGGGGAGATGGGTCTGTTGAGAGGTTCCCCCTCGTAACAAGCTCATTAATCCCCATCTTTTTAATGCACTACACAGAAAAGCTCAGCACAATAACCTACAGTACATACATCCTTTGTTAGGGCAGCCGGGTGAGAGTTTATTGGAGGGGAGCAACCAGTCTCACCAATGGACCACTTCACACCCTGGCTTTTTAATGCATCTCACTATGTAGGGAAAACATCATACATCATCAATAACACCAATAATAATAACATCAATAATAGCCAATTTTAAAATATAATGTGTTTAATGTGCCTCAAACATCTGATGTTGGAGCTTGTAATGACCTGAAAGAAATCGATTGAAAGGTGCGGTGTTGAGCTGAGGAAATCCGCAGGACCGGACGGGATCAGTCCCAGGCTGCTGAGGACCTGTGCAGACCAGCTCTCTGGGGTTCTCAGCTACATGTACAACCTGAGCCTCAGCCTGGAGAAGGTCCCTGTCCTGTGGAAGACCTCCTGTGTGATCCCGATCCCAAAAACAGCACACGCCAAGGAACCGGCTCACTACAGACCAGTCGCACTGACCTCCCACCTGATGAAGACCATGGAGCGGCTCATCCTCACCAATCTCCGCTCCGTGGTCAGCCCCACCCTGGACCCGCTGCAGTTCGCCTACAGACCCAACATCGGAGTAGAGGACGCCGTCATCTACTTCCTGCAGCGGACGCTCTCCCACCTGGAGCCCGCCGGGAGCGCTGTGAGGGTCATTTTTTTCGACTTCTCCAGCGCTTTCAAAACCATCAGGCCGGCACTGCTGCGGGGGAAGATGGAGGACGCGGGAGTGGACAGTAGCCTCACTGCATGGACCATCAACTACCTCTCAGACCGACCACAGTACGTGCGGCTGCGCAGCTGTGAGTCTGAGGTGGTAGTCTGCAGCACTGGGGCCCCTCAGGGCACTGTCCTCTCACCGTTTCTCTTCACCATCTACACCTCAGACTTCACACACGACACACACAGCTGTCACCTGCAGAAGTTCTCCGACGACTCCGCCATCGTGGGCTGTGTGTCTGAGGGGAACGAACTGGAATATTGGTCGGTTATCAAGGACTTTGTCGACTGGTGTGAGCGCAACCACTTGTGCTTGAACACCAGTAAGACCAAGGAGATGATCATCGACTTCAGGAGAAAACCACTTTCCCACACGCTGCTGAACATCCAGGGGGAGGACATTGAGCTGGTGGACAGCTTCAAGTACCTGGGTGTTCACATTAACAATAAACTGGACTGGTCCCATAATACAAACGCCCTGCACAAGAAGGGCCAAAGTCGCCTCTTCCTTCTGAGGAGGCTGAGGTCCTTCGGAGTGAGCAGGCCTCTGCTCAGGACTTTTTATGACTCTTTGGTAGCTTCTGCCATTTACTACGCTGCCGTGTGCTGGGCCCCGGGCAGCACAGAGCGGGACAGAAACAAACTGAACAAGCTGGTCAGGAGGGCCAGCTCCACTCTGGGCTGCTCCCTGGACTCTATGGAGGAGGTGAGGGACAGGAGGGTGCTAGCCAAAGCCACCTCCATCATGAACAACACCTCCCACCCACTGCACAGGACTGTAGAGGAGCTGAGGAGCTCCTTCAGTGGAAGACTGAGGCACCCTCAGTGTAGGAAGGAGCGCTACCGCAGGGCCTTTATCCCCACCGCTGTCAGACTGTGCAATAAGTCACTTTAAATGATCACTGTTGAATCTCTTTTCTGTTATTATTGTCACTGTTGTTCCTGTTGTTATTGTGATCGTTTACTTTTTTTTCTCCTCCCTTTAAGGTCCTTTTGTAGATTGTTTTACTGTATACCGTTTGTCACTGTATTGCATTTTGTATTTAGTCATTGCTTGTATTGCTTGCTTATTGACTGTCCCTATGTATATTTTCACCTGGTGTGTAAATAAAGTCGACACTTCGGTGACACTTCAAACTATCATGGCCGACTTCCTGTTGGACCCCGAGTGAGGCTCCAAGAGAGTTTTAGGCTTGTCTCATAGAGATCTATCACTAATCTGAATTTCGTTATTTTTGACACTGTCCGCCGAACCGGTTGCATTAGATTAGATTGTACTTGAATCAGTCCCAGGAAGTAATTTCAATATTATTGTTGGTCGCCATCAAAACCCTAAATGTGTCATGGCTGCTCTTGTTTACACAGATAATATTGCAGCAGAGTTGGAAGCTAACTTGGGTCAGCTCGAGGAGATCACGGGGCACCTGACTATCCGCAGAGCCTATGCCCTCGTCTCCCTGTCCTTCTTCCGAAAACTGACCACCATTAGAGGAAAACATCTTGAACAAGGGTAATCGTTTTTACGATTCTCAAATTACTCTTCAACTTTTCACACTGTATAAATTATGCCTTAATTTTGTGCAGTGATTTTGCCTTTTATGCGCTGGACAACCAAAACCTTCGTGAGCTCTGGGACTGGTCCAAACACAACCTGACCATTGTTAACGGCTGCGCCTTCTTCCACTTTAATTCCAAGCTTTGCATGTCTGAGATTAGACGTATGGTGGATGTAACAGGAGTGAAGAACTGCAACAAAAAGAATGAAATTGCTGCCCGAACCAATGGGGACCAAGCTGCCTGTAAGTAGATATTATTTTTCTGTGGGTAAATACACCAAATTTGCAGGTATTATAGGTATATCTTTTACAGGTGAGACCAAACGTTTAACATTTACCTCTGTCAAGATATCATTCAATAAGATTGTGGTCAAGTGGGAACCGTTCTGGCCACCAGATTATCGGGATTTATTGGGTTTTATGGTCCTTTACAAAGAGGCGTATGTATCCCAAACTATACATTACAATTACACCAATGATTCCCTGTGTGCAATAATCTATTTCATATCTGTTTTTAGGCCTTTCAAGAATGTGACAGAATTTGATGGCCAGGATGCTTGTGGCTCAAACAGCTGGATTATTGCTGATGTTGAGCCCCCGCGTCGTGGGACAGAAGGCAAGAAGCAGGAAGACCCGGGTCACCTGATCCGACCACTTAAGCCTTGGACTCAGTACGCCATCATGGTGAAAACCCAGCTCTCTGCCTCCGAGGAGCACCCGGTCCACGGAGCAAAGAGCGAGATCCTGTATGTCCGCACCAGTGCCTCCAGTAAGTCGCTTCAGACTCACCAACCCCTTAATCACCTTTATCAGTTCTGCAGTATTGTATTATTCATCACTTGCACCAGATGTTAACTCTCCTTGCGTTTTGTTTTTCAGAGCCTTCTGTTCCTCTGGTGTATATTTCCTCCTCTAATTCATCTTCTCAGATTATCTTGAAGTGGAAGCCTCCAACCAATCCTAATGGCAACATTACCCACTATCGAGTCATCTGTAGAAAGCAGCCTGAAGACAGTGACCTTTACAAATTTGACTATTGTTTACAAGGTCAGTATTTAGTGTTTGTATTTGTTCTTAATTGCTCCTACTCTAATTGCAAGCTACTTGATTTGTGTAGCAATCTTAATACAAGCTTCTCGACAATAAATTCACCTTCACTACCCTTTCAATTAAAGTAGATGGAATTTTAGTGATCAATACAACTGTCATGGGAATCCAAACCAATTAACTGCTCTTGTGGGGAAGCTGGCCCGAGTGTCAAAGTGAGACAGCAGAAGTCATATTAAAAGGTGCCAAAAGAGATTTATTTTGCACAACAAACATTCTTGGGTGTGTCTCCCCTGACGAGGTTCACCTGTGAGCTTTTATCATCGTGGCTCCGCCCACATGGGTTGGCACACAAAACAAACTGGCTGTCTGAGACACACCCTCTTCAACAGGTACAAAATACATTTACTATAAGTGGCATTAAAGGGGACAAAGTAACCTGCTTTGTCACAGCTCTATTTAAGCAAGAATGTCCTCTGAAATTTAAAACATAAAATAAATACAGTCAGTAAATACTGGGTGGGTGGTCGTCACCAAGGTGCGCTTGTACCCGGCGTATTGTTGTGTTGTGGCTGCAGGACACGCTGTTATGTACGAACATCAGGAATGTCCAGGAGAAAATAGCTTTCGAGGACGCTACTGTGCTCCTTGATCAATAAAAGAGCTTAGCTACAGAAAAGTTACTTGGCTTTGTAAGTAGTAGTACTGCCCATCACTGTTCCTATTGTAATGGTTATGACTTTATTTCAGGGATGAAACTACCTTCTCGGACCCCTACCCATTTGGACATCGACGACAAACAGGTGTGGAATAATACTGAAGAGCCCAATGTGGGGAAGTGTTGCACTTGTCCCAAGACTGACCTCCAACTCAAGAAGGAGCAGGAGGAGATCGAGTTTGGCAAAGCCTTTGAAAACTATCTTCACAATGAAATCTTTGAGATCAGGTAGGCTAGCATTAACTATAGCCACTGTAACATAACCACACTTCTCCTACCACTGTGTTGGCGGCATTGGATTATGATTTTGGGGGTCATTGCTTAGATAACAGGTACATTTTCACAGCTTCATTGTGCGGAGCAAAATAGTGATGTAAAGTTCGATTCATTTTACTGACTCGAGTTAAAGTGAATCACTCACCAAAGTGAATCGGGTGTTTTGAGTCATTTGATTCAGTGATTCAGTTGTTCAGAAAAAAACATACATGAACACAAAATGGCAATTTACAATCAAAACATTTATTAAAATTTGATAAATGGTAACAATAACAAATATGTAAACTAATTTGACAAAATATAAACTCTTTAAATTTAACAATTCAACAGTAAAATTGTGAACAAAGCAGCAACAACATTCCAAGCGAGGGGCTGTCACAATACAAGAAATACAATAACACGAACAGAGTTGACATTTTGCTCGTGATGGGCCTTTTATTTCAAAGTGCATCCAAATATCGCTTCTTCTGCGGCTACTATCCATTTTCTATAAAAATATTTAAAACTTTCCGCCAAAAATGTGGTGTTACATAAATGTATTCCGTGTTAAAACCTACATTCCTGGTAAAAAAAAAAAAAAAAAGGTCATAACAATTATATTATATAAATAATAAATACAAACAACTTTGATATTTTTCACACATTCATTTTTTATTGATGACAATCATTGTAACGCCAATAATGTTCGAGGCGGAACTCCTGTTGTCCGACGAGAGAAACACAGCTGAACAAATAACTTAATAAATAGCCAATTATATTTTTCAATCTACCTCACATAATACATGTAGAGGGTTATTATTTTTTGTCAGATGGGGCAAAAGAAACTACTTTTTTCAACCCAGTTAGAGAACGAGAGTTACGAGACGAGTCGGTGTCCTGTCCTGTTGTTTCGACTCGCTTGATGCTGAGTGAGTGAGTGAGTCAGATCAGATGAACGATTCGTTCAGAGCTGAACGACTCGAAGGGGAGCGGGAAGGGGCTGATCCAGAACCACAGTGAGTCGTTCACTGCTCGTACGGCTCGTACTAGCAGGCGCGGGCAGGCAGGAAGGAGGACGTTACGGTGAAGTAGATGGTTGTAAACAATAAGCTTTTGGTTTCTGTGCTCAAACGAGCTACAGTACACACACACACAGTCACACACGTAATATTAGAGTGTCATTCATTGTGGCTAGTAGAAAACGCAGTCTGGGGGTCGCAGTTTAGAAAGTGGTGGGCGGACGAGTTGGTGAACGAGTTAATGAAGGCGGGGAATCACGACTCCCGAGTCAGTAAAGTGAATCTCGAGTTTTGAACGATTCGTTCACGAATCGCACATCACTAGAGCAAAATGCTTGTCCGGGTACCTGCGGTACTAGCACACGTTGCCATAACGCATACATGTACAAGTAACTTTGCTCAGAAATAGACATGCCAGACCAAAGGAAACAAGTGTGTGTTCTGGCATAATGTTACAACTGCAGATGGAGCCGCGCTGCTTATAGAGCTGTCGTGTGGGTAAAACCATGTTGTGCTCTAACCATTGAAAGAAGGGAGCGTGCAGCCAACTCTATAATATATTGCAAGACAATGGATTAATTCAAAGTTGTTCTGCATGGTCCCGCGCAGTCTGTGGGTCAAATAGGTGGATCTAAAAATGAATGGTTATGAACTACTGTATGTCTCCTGTAGAACCAATAGGACTGGAGGGGGAGTGGCCCTCCACATATTTTAAGAATTCAAAATTAGACCAGTTAAATGCATGATAACTACAGATGATTCAATGGAAATAAAAATAACCTAAAGACTGTGGGTCAAAGTCTGCAAAACAAGCTCTGCCTTGGGCTATATTGTAAAACCTCTCTACAATCGTCCCATATGAACTAGTAACAGTTTAAGAGTATAACCAGAGCTTCTGTGAACTCTGGACTCTCACTAGTAATTTAGCAACTTTGTACAATGTTGCTTCATTGTTTCCATTAAGCGCCGACTTTGAATATTCTGATTTATATCTCATAATCTTTTGAGTTTAATCTCATATTTTTTTGAGTTTATTCTCATAATATTATGTATTTATTCAGTAAAATTATAAGAATAAACTCTAAATATTACAAGATTTATCTCAATCTCTCAAACCTGACCATCAAATATGCTGAAGTGAAAACAGTAAATCCTCTCCTCATACAGAACAGAAATCTAAAATAAGTGGAATATAGGTTGTTTTATAAAGCTTGTGTGTTTCTTATTTTTGAGGAAATTTAGAGAATTCACCACAAACTAAGATTCTGCTTAACTGTTATCGCTGCACCATTGAAGGTTGGTTGTGATATTACCGAACCACACAATCACAGAACCAACAAGCAAAAAAAGGAGTTCCCTAGACTGGGTGCTCCGCTCTGTAAAGAAGATTGTGAGCTGCCTGTTCTGGAGTTTCTTTATGAATTCAGACTCTTTAATCAAGCTCCTAGAATAAACAATGACTCCTCTGGCCCCTTGAAAAGCCATGTTCCAGCTTCCTCCTTCTGGCAGAAAATATCCTTCACTGAGATGCAGGACATCACGAAAGGCTAAATCAGTTTGAACAAAGCACTTTAATGATCTTGCACTTGTTATTGAAGCTGTTTTTGTTGGTTTCACGATGACAATTGTTTCCTTTTCCTTATGGCTTGTTTTAATTATACTTGTCTGGTGCACGATTGGGGTACTTTTGCACACAAATATAATGAATCTGACAATATAATGACTTTTCCTGACTTTGACTTTATCCTCAGAATATTTTGATATTAAAATCAAAATATTGTATCATTAAATAGTCTTTTTCCACACACACTGTACTTCAGAGTGTAAATCATGTCAACTCATGCTTTAGTTTGTCCACAGAATCATAGTCAAGTTTCAAATCTTTGACGTTGTCTCTTTCCTCTTCAGACCAGCCAGGCGCAGACGCTCACTGGGAGTTGCCAATGCCACCCATTCCCCCTTCATACAGAGCACCTTCACCTATGACTCCACCACTCTCACCCCTGAAGCTAAAGAGAAAGAAGGATCCAAGGTAGCTTTTTTATTTATGACTATTTGATTCAATTTAAAGTTCAATAGTTCCACAGAGAATTATTTCAGTTTGCACTTAATAATACATATATTTATTATTTAGTACTACATATATTACTAAATATATTTTCCTCTGAAATAACCCTCTTGCAGAAAATGGTTGTGAATATTGTCAATAGTCAGTTGTGATTCATTAGTTCTAATTCTAAAATGTGATTTAAGGCTCTACTGAAATAAATTGGATTGAATTGAATTGAATCAATGTATATTACCATACATTATGAGGCATTTTGAATTTGTGTGTGTTTGTGTTTTTCGAACAATAGGTTGAGCTCAATGTGTTTTCTAAGGAGTCTACGGTCATCTCCAACCTTCAACACTTCACTAGTTACAAGATTGAAGTCATGGCGTGTAACCATCCCACGGACCCAGATCGCTGCAGCATGCCTACCTATGTCAGCGCTCGCACCATGCCTGAAGGTAAGTCTAACTTACTAAAGATGCTAGTGAGAAATGTCACTGTCTTCATGTATATTTTGTAATTACAGAAAAGGCAGATGATATTCCAGGTCCTGTAACCCATGAAGTAATGCATGGTGAAACTCACTCCGTACTCATCAAGTGGAGTGCCCCCGTCTCCCCTAATGGCCTCATCATTTTATATGAAGTATTCTATAAGAGAGAAAGCGATACAGAGGTTTGTTTCTTCAACATGAAACTGCTAAACCAAACATGCCAATTTTGTAAAATATTATGATTCTTAATGTGAGTGGTATACAGTGGTGGACAAATGTGTCCATGCTTTTGAAATCCTTAATAGATACACAAACTTTTTTTTTCCATCTCGTGAAATACATATGTTGTCCATTTTCAAACATCCATGGACAGATCTGCATTTATCAAGCACATGCTATTTTCTTTGCAGATGCAGTTTAGCACATGCATTGATAAATGCACTCCGATGTCTAATGGGATTGCAAAGCAGTTATTTGTGCTTTTGTTGTTGCTTACTCGCTTCCATATGTGTGGATACATTTTTCATTGCTATTCACTGCTGCACTGCCTGACCTTAGGAGCCAGTAGCTGCCCTGTTGCCATAGTGACAGAGGCAGGAGAGAATAGACGGCAGTGACTGGCATCTCTTGCTCACTGCACTCAAGCTGTTTTTGTTTTGTTTCATTATTAACACATTCATTGTACGTTAACGTGATTAATAATGTAATTTAACCTGATAGGATTGTTTTTTAATACATGTCTTTGTCTTCAGCTTTTATTTTTGCAGAGTTTATTGTAAGAAATTGTTCTGTTTTTCTTTTCAGATTCATACTGCTTGTGTATCACGGCCAGCTTACATTAAAATGTTAGGCACAAAGCTGTCTCTTGTGCACCCAGGAAACTATAGTGTGAGGATCCGGGCCACCTCTCTGGCAGGAAATGGGTCCTTTACAGAGGCCACTTACTTCGTCATGCCAAACAGTAAGACTGCACCCAACAAATTTACTGCAAAGTTTCATGTAAAGACATGTGGTTATTGATCCACCCCCTTCATTTGTCATTTACAGAAGATCCGGATGTTGTTTGGCTTGTTATTGGGCCAGTTATTTGCGTCATCTTGCTGCTTATTGTAGGGACTGGTGTATTTGTTGTTCTCAAAAAGAGGTAAAAACATTAAAACAAATCATATAGTTTCAAAAAGTAAAAGTGACGTTTATGCAGTCTTTTTGACACTGTTCTTGGTTGTCTTATGTTCTACAGGCAGACTGAAGGCCCAACAGGGCCCCTTATCGCCTCATCTAACCCGGAGTATATCAGTGCAATTGATGGTGATTTTCTAAAACAGTGAACTATGAACAAATGCTGCATGACACAAAAAACTAAAGTTGATGTTCTGCACAGTGTATGTTCCTGATGAGTGGGAGGTGCCCCGTGAGAAGATCAATGTATTGAGAGAACTGGGACAGGGATCTTTTGGTATGGTGTATGAAGGAATCGCCAAAGACATTGTCAAAGGAGAGCCAGAGATGCACGTCGCTGTCAAGACGGTTAATGAGTCGGCCAGTCTGAGAGAGAGGATTGAGTTCCTAAATGAAGCCTCTGTCATGAAAGCCTTCAGCTGCCACCATGTGGTAAGAAGCTGCTCTTCATCAAACAGCAGGAACATAGTTTCACTCCAAAAACACATGTTCACACTTGTAATCCCTTATGTCAAGCATAACTCTGTTCTGATAGAGATAGTGAGAATTCCTCCTGGTTGTAAAGTAAGTGAATTTAGTCATTGTCACTGTGTGTAGGTCCGCCTGCTTGGTGTGGTATCCAAAGGTCAGCCTACACTAGTGGTCATGGAGCTAATGACCCATGGGGATCTTAAAAGTTACCTGCGTGGTCTAAGACCTGACTCAGAGGTGACTTCATCAGATAGTTTTTAAGTTTTTGTCAAGATAATTTGGTTAATGATTCTTTATTTTACTGCTCAGAACAACCCTACAGGCCGGTCACCTCCCACGTTGAAAGAAATGATCCAGATGGCAGCAGAGATAGCTGATGGTATGGCTTACCTTAACGCCAAGAAGTTTGTACACAGGGATCTCGCTGCCAGAAACTGTATGGTGGCAGAGGACTTCACTGTTAAGATTGGAGGTAAAAACTAATTAACTAACCAACTTAAAAGTTTTAGCCCAACATGACAAGGAACTATTTATATGATTGTTACGTCCTCCAGACTTTGGTATGACGCGAGACATATATGAAACGGATTACTACCGTAAAGGTGGAAAAGGTCTGCTCCCTGTCAGGTGGATGGCACCAGAGTCTCTGAAGGATGGTGTGTTCACTGCCCACTCTGATTGCTGGTATGTAACAAACTAGGCTCCATCATACTGACCAGGTTTAACACTGAACCTTGGATGACGGATGATTGTGTGTATAGGTCATTTGGAGTCGTGCTGTGGGAGATCACCACACTGGCAGAGCAGCCATACCAGGGCCTATCTAACGAACAGGTCCTCAAGTTTGTGATGGATGGAGGATACCTGGACAGACCTGACAACTGCCCAGAGAGGATGTGAGTGCCAAAATAACCGCCACACAGTATTTTCTCTTTGCATTTATTTATGTACTTTGGGCAAATGAAAATTAGCTGAATGTACAGTGTCAAGTAAAATTTCATTTGTGTTTTAGGCACAACCTAATGCAAATGTGCTGGCAGTACAATCCCAAGATGCGTCCGATGTTCCACGAGATCATCGATATGCTGAGAGAGGACTTGCATCCATCGTTTCAGGATCTCTCCTTTTTCTATAGTGAAGAGAACAAGGTCCCAGAGACGGATGACTTTGACCTGGACTTAGACAACATGGAGAGCATCCCACTGGACCCGTCGTCGTACTCCCAAAGAGAAGAAAGTTTAGGCAGAGACTGTGGGCCATCAGTGGGCCTGAGGGGGAACTACGAGGAGCATGTTCCCTACACACACATGAATGGTGGAAAGAAAAATGGACGAATCTTATTGTTACCCAGATCCAGCCCATCCTAACATTTCCTGCTTTTTACACAAACTCCATTCATCCTTTTCTCTGTTCCAGTCCGATTCTGTACCTCACAGCTACGTTGTACATTTTCTTCGTCAAAACCACAGATCTCAGGACCTTTACTTTATTCCTCATGGTTGCCAGACACAGGCAAAACAGAACTTGATGCAAACACGGTTCCTAATTATTTCTTCTTCCAGTTATTCAAGCTTTGTTTTATACTTATGAATCCAGACTCCTTTCAATTATAAAAACAGATACTGTGAACAAAACAGAACCGGGGCTACCAAATGGCTGCTCACCTCTCCTACTTCACAGCAGTCTACATTTCCCCAATCGTAATTTTTCTACTTTGAAAGTGGCCTTTATGTGTGGCCTGAAAGCGCCTTTTAAACAATGACTTTATTGGTAAAATGGAAGATTTCCAACACTTTATCCAAGGTTGAACATGTATTCTTACTGGAATTGTTTGTATATTTTTTTAATCTCACAATTCCTACAAAATTCCAATCTGCTCCTGGATTTAATGGGTTTTTTGTTCCTCGTTTCTCACTGTTCTGTCCTTACTTTATGGCTGAAGGGAATTTACTGTTAAGAATTGGACAAAACGTTTCCTCAGCCTGACCAATAGCTGCTGCTTTGATATACTTTAGTGAGAGTAGAATTATATATATATATATATATTTATATATACATATATAATTTATACTATATATGGAATATTGGTCATGCACCAATATTTGATATATAATACATAGTTTTTGTAAATAGTCCACATTTGTAATGTTTTTCAGAGGCTTTGCTAGCGTTTCATTTTATGTTGCTGTTTTTTCAAAATGGAATATATATATTTCTTTTTTTCTAGCCTCTGAAATCTCACTGATCAAAATGTATGTGTGTGTTAGGCCTCTGTTTTTTGATTGCTCTGTCCGTAGGGATGGAGAGCAAAAAAAGGACTTGACAACTAATATATAATTCTCCAAAAGCTTTAGAAAGGGGGAATGAGGTCTTTCTGTGTAATGCCTTGTTTTTCAGTCTGCTGCCTGTTTGGATCTTGTTGTAGCAGGTGGCCTCTGTGTGGCGCTGTTGCTGGCCTAATGTATCACAATGCTGTTGGGGATGTCTTTGTGGCTGCAGTAAAGGGCCATGGCTTTGGCCTGTGTACTTAGTGTAAAAAAGAAGATGGACTTTTACTCTGGAAGTATTTTACAGTCTCATAGCCCACATCCTTCCTCCTTCTATTAATTTAGGAGCTTCCTTTAGTTGCCAAACATTAGTCCAACTACAAAACTCCACCTTTTGGATTTGGCATTTTGGAAGTGTGGAAAAATGTCCACATCAAGAAGAGGGAAGAGGGTTTGACTGTAGAGACTCTCAAGTGATAATTATTCCTTAATCACTCTGAGAACACACTTAGTCAACCATGGCCCCACAAAGCAGCTCTATCACTGAGGTTTGACATTCCAAGGCTTGAGTAACTGCTGTTACTATCATCACACTACGTACAAACTTAACATGAAATGTCCGTGCTGTAACTCCCAATCAAAATAATGGCTGAACTCATTTAGTTCTCATGTTTTTGTTTTTGAAGCAGAGAAAGTACACACGCTTGCCAATATTACCGAACAGCATTCAGCACTTATTGTAAAGCCAAAGGGTTGACTACTTTTGTCAATAACAATCGCCTGCAGTTCACTATGGCTACACGCGGCATGTGAGCTGCCTCTGTAAATGAACCAGTGCCTTGTCCAACATGGAGCTTCACAAGTGACCACAGACATGACAGAACTGTTCTGTTTTAGCTTGTAGCTGTGACATTGCAGACCATGATCATGTCAGAAATAGCCTGCAATCTTTTTTCTTTTAATTTTATATAATAATAAGAAATGGCCTGGAAATGAAAAGAAAAAAATACACATGCCTGTCAATTGGTTGTGTCTACAGTGCAGAAATCTTGAGGCTGGAGTTAAAATATTGCTTAACAAAATCCATCTTAAATTATGTAAATCATGAAGTAATATCTTTGAAGTAATTTTTTGTTTCTATTCAGTGATTTGGAGACAGCGGCCTCAGTCATGCAGGCTTCAGTCACTGAGTGATTCCAGTGCATAAACAACTGTAAGATCTAATGTTGTGCCCATATCATTGAAAGAGCAGATTTTTATTTTCTTATATTTTTTGTAAGCATTGCCTTATTTTAGTATAGTATTTTAACTGTATTGATGATGGTGTTACAGCCTTGTGTGTTGTTGTCCAGTGTCGTGCAGTGCGCAGCAGGCAGCTGCAGGAGCTTGTCAGTAGTTATTAGTTTGGTCGCGGTCTACCTCAATGCACATAGATGAATCAGTCTAAAGAGCCTAACTTATATACATAACTTACATCACACCTTCACCTCTAGAATTTTCCATTGCAATTATTCTGTTTTCTTTCTCTGTTGTAAAATCACATTATATCAACCTCAATGTTGTCGTTGTACACAGCTTTAATTCGGCCTGAGCGTGGCATTATGGTGGCCAGTAGGGTTTGTGGACACTGTATTTACACTGCTTGTAAGGAGAAGGATCATCACATGAGCAGACTTTATGATATTTGTGTTTGCATGTGTCCAAATCTGCTCCTTCATGATCTGTAATGGAAACTAGATCGACAAAGTGTAGTCTGTCAGAGTGCCCTCCTTCTCTACGGTCTGTTTTATCAAAACAATTCCACCTTCTCCATTCTCTTTTGCGGTTTTGCTCTGTATGTATTTTTGTACTGTGAATATCAAAAGATTGCTTTTACTTTCTCTTAATGCCTTGGATTGGTTCAGTTTCGAGCTGTCCTGACAGTGGCATATGGAGTAGTATAAAGTTTATTGCAAAAAGTGGAGTAATTTTCCTTTTTCGGCAAAGGAAAACTGGACTGGGACAATCCTGTGTGCCATACAAACTATTCTCAACAGACCTGAAATCTCCATTGCAACTTCTAACGTCTCAGGGAGGCGGCCTAATGCTTTGCAGATGTAAGCTGAAAGAAGGCTGAGGCTTATATGCATCCCTGCTCCATCTAGACCCTAAACACACCGCTCAAAGTTCCTGCCCTTTATTTACTGGTATAATCAGAAGGATTATCTCTCAAACGTCAAACGGGAGCATTGCAGGTCATGGGTGGCAAAGCAACTCCACAGTGCCTTCGCCTGACCCTCTCCTCAGCAAAACCACCACTGACCACCCGTCTGCACCGGTCTGTCACGAGGATTTTCCATCTCCAAAATAACATTTTACTTTAAATGTTTGTTTTTTATTTAACATTTGATGAGAACATTCTGTAATGTTTGCTGAATATTGTTATATTTTTTTTACCAAAAGTCGTCTCTGCTTCTGTCTGATTGCTTTGTGCATAGAACATGAAAAATATGCCCCAGCACAGACAGCCCTGTCATTTGAGGTGTAGTGGTTTCCCTTGCCCCAAAATTGTGCAAATCTTTCAGGCATCAAATTTAATGCCACATCTAAAAAGGCTGTTCGTGGCATAGACTGCATATAGATCCTAATATATGCTCTTTGTTCCAAGGCAGCTATTAGGTCCTGTTAATTTGAAACACTTAAATATTGTGTGAAGTTTCAGTTTAGTTTGACCTGTAAGGGTGGACAGTTATGCAGCGCAGGGTGAGAACAAAGCATTGTATTATCATTGTCTTTTTGTTGATAAAAAGTATTACATTTTAGATGTTGATTGCTATTTTTTTAGCCAAAGTTAAGGGCGGCAAAAACAGTGACTTTTTCTGTCTGTAAACTTTACTATTCTTGTACATTATAAATTTAACATTGTTATCAATCTGTATATAACTTTTTTTTAATTGAAAAAACTACATTTTCAATATAGAGCCATGGCAACTGTCACGGAGCAACGCAATGTACAACTGTGGCCTGCAGTCTGCTCCAAATGCCCATCAAAAACTGAATTCATATTTTATGAATATCAAAGATTTTTATTTTTTATTTTGTGACAAACTGGAAAAGACCACTGCACATCCTTTAGCAAAGACAAATGAGTGTGAAAATCCCAAATAAGCTAAAATGTTTTTTTTTTTTTTGTTATTATTATTGCTTATATTATTTTTTGATCTGTATAATGTAGGAGTACAGCGGGTTGTGACTACATATTTTTGTTCTTTTGGAGAAAATGGGGGAATCTGCCTCAGTGGTCTGCTCCAGTTTTAGAATTGTGTCCCTGTCGGTGTTTAAAACCAATGAACTATAGTGTCTTCTGTGTTGTTTCTACCACTGTGCCCTTCTTGTCTGACCGGATACCCTCTTCCCTGGAACTCAGCCAGGACCCCAAACCCAGACGACGCGGGCCCCTCACACTGGATCCATATGTGCCATTACGTACCACAAAATATTGTTTGCATTGAGACTACAGCTCCACGAGCTGAAAGACTTTGCATATTATTGTACAGGATCAAAATGTGCCATGACTAAATTAACGCTTGACAATTTATTTTTTCTATGTTTTCAAAGGAGAGCCAAGTAGTGACATGTACAGAAAAAATGTTGCAATGATATGAAAGTAAAACTCTTGCTGTGTGTAAATTATTCAACAATTAACTGTTTATATTAAAATTATAAATAAAATGAGGATATTTGTTTTTATTTTGTGTGCATTTGCTTCAGATTGGGAGGTTTGTTTACTTGGCTAATTATGTAGCCTAATCGCTGAAGACTATTTCAACTTTCAGATGATCTCACAAACTACTTTCTCCTGGTTTCTGCTCTTTACTTGGCTAATTATTTTTTATTTTAAAACAAATACCTGTGCTTCTAAACTTATTAGGTACATTGCATACAACTGTCACACAGACATTACAGCAGAGGTAACATTATTTAACTTCATAAGTAATCCAAGGAAGAGTATTGTAATTATCTTTGTCTAAAAACAAGCCCTGTGAGTTGATCTAAAGATGTGACGGAGGCCAAAAATATGTGCATGTGATTGTCATAGATGTTTCCTGCAATGTGGTCAGCCATGCTTAGAATTCTATTGATTGTCAATTATCCGATAATAAACATGCTTTTCACTTTTTTAAATTTTATGTAAAAATTCCTGTTTCAGTGGATTTTTATACTTTCACTTAGATGAGCATGCATGACTTTAAAATGACTAATTTCCTTTGTTCTATCACTAGTTTTCACACGCATGTATTGTTTGGTCTTTGTCACATCTTTAGATCAGCTTTTTCAGACAGAAAAGTGAAGAGAGGACCACCCTCATTCAGCCAGCTCTCAAATATGCCATGGATAACATGTAGTTTAAGTTAACCCAGCTTTAAGTACCTACCTAGTACTTTTATCACATCTGGCTGTATCTAATCGACAGTCAGTTTGGAATACAATCACTCATTTGAGTGGTTGTACGACATCATTCCACAAAGAGAAAGTTAAAACCTCACCATGGAATGTGGAGAACAATCAGTTTTATACACAACTCAAAGGTAATATCCATCCATCCATCCATTTTCTACCCCTTAATCCATTTCTGGGTCTGGCGGGTAGCAATCAGAGATGCCACCCAAGTCTCATAGCTCCAGCCCCTCACTGATCCTCTGCAGGTGGTGAGTCCACAGGAGGATGGCTGCTCTATAAGTGTGAGCATAGCCATGATCTTTCAGCGGGGGCTTCGGGCAAGGTTAGGGTAAGGACACAACAACAGCAGACATCAGTGGGGATCTGTGGAGAAGATGTCGAGGTGGGATCGAACTCACGAACTCCAGGCCCAAAGGCCAATGCTCTACCAACTGAGCTACCAGCTGAGCTACTGTCGCCCCAGATAATAATAAGGTGTCGAAGGTAATAATGTTTCAATTTCCCCAAGAGGAAGAGTCTTCCCTCCAGAAAACCATGTATCAATTGTCCTCACCATTTTTAATTACGCTGCTTGCTTTTTCAATATAGTGGACTATGTAATTGCGTTTGCCGATGACAAACTAACTCTGTTATATCACAACTAAATCATACACTGTCTTTGAGCACAACGCACGGATATGTTCCAGGATCCACACTATTATCAAAGGTAAGTGGTGAATGCAAAAGGCTTATAGGAACATTTTATAAGTGGCATGTTACAATGTTTATGGGGAATTCATGTCATACAGGTGAAACTCTGAATATTGTTCAAAGTTCATTTATTTCTATGACTCAACTCAAAATGTGAAACTAGTAAGATACAGACAGACCCCAAGAATTTATCTGACTATGGCTTATATTTCATTTTCAAAATATAAAAAAAGTTGTTGGTGTTTTCAACAAAACACAATAGCATCTTGTATCAACTGGGTTATCTCTGACTTTACCTGCAGGTGTTTTGGCTTCGTTAAGAATAAAAACTATAATGGCTTCTACTCTGACAACGTTCAAATCAGGTTAAAAACATTTCTGTTCAGCTTTACATTCAACGGAGGGATTTTATCGGCACTCTTTATAATGTGCTGTGATTATTTTTTATTTTAATGCCTTGTGTTGTTTCTATATAATTTAGTTCAGTACTTTGAGTTGGCCTGTGTATGAACTGTGCTAGTACTATACAAATAAACTCGTTTGCCTTGTGAAGCCTTCCCATGTAATTTGTAGTCCAACACATCGTCATAATGAGAGTCGTGAGATAACAGTGAGGAGTGAGGAAGAGCCACAGCAGTCCCACGACACATGCTCGTCTCTGATAGATTTCGACAGAGCAGTGGTGTAGCTGATGTTTGAGAAAAGAGGAAGTGTGCAGTTTTGTGGCTCTGCGTTCAAACTGGAGACACAGCGATCAAACATTATCTCTAATCTACCTATCATCAACCATCTACAAAACAGTAAGTGCGTGTCTTGAACAATGAGATTTTTAGGTCAACTATCACTTTGCTTCATGCACTTTAAAACTATAAAACCCTTGCCCTATAAGACCCCTGCCCTGTACGACCATGTCTATTGTGTGTACTTACTTAGCTACAAGAGTAATTTTGAGAAATGTTATGAAGATTTCAGAAGATATCTCTTTTCACTCTTACAACTTGTTTGCACCTTGAGCCAAAGCAAATTCTTAGTTTGTGACTTCCTGTTACCTACAATTGCAATAACATTTGAGATTCTGATTCTACCATTTACTGTATTTTACATAATAACACTAGTGCAAGGAACATCCACAAAAGCCCATCTCGTCACATGCTTTTTCTCCACCCTGTTGTGACAGAATCTCACATATCGGATTTATATTTCTTCAATTAGAGAAGCATATATTGTCAATTGTGAGGTCCCTTGACAAACTTTGTATTAGCTCACACTTCCTTCTCATTTTGAGTTCTGTGATTCATGTTCTCATTATAATAACTGACTTTTTACAAACAACATTTCATTTCATTTTCCATACAAATGTGGCTTCTTCTTCTTCTTCTCTTTCTGCTTTTCGGCACATATAATGCTTTGGTGCTATACTTGTATTTTGCTGTCCTCTGTCTTCTCGTCCTCTGTTTGGGGTTGTTGCCTCCTCTTCCAGCGTCCCTCCCCTCACTGTTGCATTAGTGTTCGTACACAGACTATGGTCAGTCCTCCAGCTGCAGCGCTCTCATGGCTGACTCCCCTCTCAACCACTCCTGGCCATCCTTCTCCAAACTCTGGATGAAGAGATGGTCCTTCAAACGAGGTATTCCTTTGGGCTGCCATGTGCTTATGACTTACTCTATGACTTTTTGTTGTTGTTGTGTGCAATAGTGAAGGTGTTCTGGTGTTTCATGGCTTTTTAAGTGGGCTGTTTGGTGGTTGTACTGGTTTGTCCCTGCTGTAGGCACGTATACAAAAAATATACCAGTATTTTATGACTAATAGTAATAATAATAATAATACTATATCGGTTTTATATAGAGCTTTTCAAAGACGCTTCACAATTCAGGACACACATTCAGACAGAGGTGAGTTTTTAACAGTTTTTTGAAGGAGTTTAGTGAGTCCGAGTTTCTGAGGTGAGGGTGGAGAGGGTTCCAGAGAGTGGGAGCAGAGATGGCGAATGCTCGGTCCCCCAAGGATTGGGGCTTGTAAATAAAGATAAAAAAGATGGATAGAGAATAGATACCCATGCACACACCACACCCCACACACGGTTGGACTCAAACACACACACATAGGCGTACACACACACACACACACACACACACACACACATACAGACACCTACCACACTCCACACATGCAGCTAGAGAATTCATTGTTTTGGAGATTGTGAATGATAACGCTGCAAACATACTTCCACACATCGTCAGAGGTTGTGTGAAACAAAACATTGTCAAACAAATGTGTTTTCTATCTTTGAATGTAAACATAATTGAGCCGCTCTGGGGAGATCTCAAACATGCATTAATGCAAGGCAGCCCAGGAATTTACAGAAACTTTCGGCTGTTTGCCTAAAAAAATAGGCAGCTTTACCTTTTATATCAGACTTTTATAACTACCACAAAGTACTCCAAGCTGTCAGAGATGTCAAAGGGCAACGCACGCTTTTGAGAACTGGGGGATGGAGACTTCTAATCAGGGTCAGAAGAGATGTTTCATTAGATATTGAAAATAAAAATACTTTTTTCTTTTTAAATAACAATTTTAGCATGATCATTCATGCTGCAATGGGCACGACAGTGGCTCAGTTGGTAGAGCATTGGCCTTTGAGCCTGAAGGTTGTGGTTTCAAGCCCACCAGCACGGTGGCAGAGTGGATAGCACTCTTGCCTCTCAGCAAGAAGGTTCTGGGTTCGAATCCCGGTTGGACCAGGGCCTTTCTGAGTGGAGTTTGCATGTTCTCCCCGTGTCTGCGTAGGTTTCCTCCGGGTACTCCGGTTTCCCCTACCACTAAAAATATGTACAATAGTTCTGGCATGCGCCTCCTGTACTGCGACCACGCTCCCATCTCTGCGTGGAGTGAGAGATTAATGCCCAAAAATAACAATTGTAAACCGCTTTGAGACTCAGATCTGGAGTGAAAAGGCGGTATATAAATAAAGATTACTACTACCACCATGAGATCTTCTCCATCTATTCCCACTGATGTCGTTGTGTCCTTGGGCAAGACACTTTGCCTGAAGCCCCTGCTGAAAGATCAAGGCTATGCTCTCACAGACAGAGCAGGCATTCTCCTGTGGACTCACCACATGCAGAGTATCAGTGAGGGATTGGTGTTATGTGACACTTGGGTGACATCTCTGATTGCCAGCCCCCGACCCAGAAATGGATTGAGGGGTAGAAAATGGATGGATAGCATTATCATTCATTTTTTTAAACATATGACATGGCATTGAAATGTCTGCCAGAGCGTGCAAAATTTAAAACACAGGTATAAATGGGTAGATAGATATCAATATTACAATAGAGACAGTTGAAAATGTACTGTATAATAATAATCAACTTTGTAGGAACAAATATCTCGTTTCCACAATTTAGTTAGTATCTTTATGGTCCTACTTTGTGCTTGCACGTGAAGTTAATGTGATTTATACAGACACAATCAACTGGGGTTGATTTTACATATGATGAATATTGTAAATTAGAATTTAGCAAAATAATCTTGACATCCCTGGACACTTTAGAGCAGCGGTGTCCAACTTTTAGGGCTACTCTAGTTCACCAAAACTGTCCAGGGGCCGCCAACACAATTTGGGCTGTTCTGAACATTAAAATGTGGTTTCATTTCAATTCAATTATTGTTATTCTTGTATAGCCTTAAATCACAACAATAGTTATAGTCTCAGAGGACTTTACAAAACCATCAAATTGGCCAACACAGACCAGAGAATCAAACAATTTAAACACAAGAAATGCATTTGTAAAAAAAAACATAAAGGAGTTCATCAATATCCATAAATGTTGATAAATCTCCATAAATGTTGTTGAATGTCGAGTGTCCTGGATCCTCACCTCTGTCCAGACCCTCCTGCATCGGCAAGGAAAAAAGCCAGTGGAAAGTGAGAAACCTCGGGGAGGCCCACACTGAGGGAGTGATCTCTGTGGTATGATTGGTCCATCTTGGTTAAATTTTGGCAAAACTGAAGTGGGCTGAATGACAAATGTGTACTCACCATTTGTCATACAATCAATAAGAAATGTCAGCACTGTCAAACAACGACTGGATTCCAGAGATCCTGAGCATCAGAGGAGGTTCTTGTGTTTATGATCGCAAAGATGGCTTTGGGTTAGCAAGGCAGAGGACCACATAATATGACATGTCTGCTTTAGACACACTGCTGTAGGCGACAGTAGCTCAGTTGGTAGAGCATTGGCCTTTGAGCCTGAAGGTCGTGGGTTCAAGTCTACCATAAGACCTACTTCACGACTCCCACTGATGATTACTTTTGTTGTGTCCTTGGGCAAGACACTGAACCCCACTTTGTCTGAAGCCCCCACTGAAAGATCAAGGCTCCTGTGGACTCACCACAGGAGCCTGCAGGAGGATCAGTGAGGGGCTGGTGCTCTGTGTACTGGGTGCAGCTCTGACTGCCACCCCCCCGACCCAGAAATGGATTAAGGGGAAGAACATTTTATGGATGTCTGCTTTAGAGACTTTTGCATTTAGAAAGACTGGCTTAGACATCCGGCATGTGTATAATGTGAAGGATGTGAAATGCTGTTCCATTGTTTCATTTTCTTTCCTATTATAGAATATTATTGTGAGTGATGCTTGTGATCAGAGATGAGAGAGGACATCGGTTTTGATGTCACTTCTTACAGGCCTCTGCTGGTGCCACGCTCCCATGAATGGTGCAGGTGCCCGGTTGTCACTGCAGCTGGGAGCCTCTGCACTTTACCACTTTAGTTATTGTGCCATCTGTAAACTCCGGTCAATTATCATTTCCCTAGGTACGAAATGAAATGAGTATGATGTATGGTAAGGTAAGATCAGGCCAGGTCTTGTGAGTCGCTCTTGTGATTGTCATGCTACGTGTGTGTGTCTGTGTGTGTGTGTGTGTGTGTGTGTGTGTGTGTGTGTGTGTGTGTGTGTGTGTGTGCGTGCTGTGGGTTCCCTCATTTCCTGTCGTCAATATGATTATTCAGATCCCAATGTACAATCAGTTTTTTCTCAACAATTAGCACATTTACAGCATCTTAATGACCAAGAATGATTACTAATATCTTCATGAATACATATATTATTGAAAACGGGGCCAAAGCAAAAGGATCGCTTGTTGCACTGTGTGTTGAAATGTAGCTTTCTGTTCCTTCAAAACAGGCAGGCCCAAGATTTCTTTGAGTGGTACGTGCTGATTCATTGTAGTTATGCAAGATCCGAGTTGAATTTCTCGACACTGCAATGCACTTTCAGATGGGAAACAAAACTTAGAAACTTGAGCATGTAATACTTTGGGAAAACTTTGAGACTGTCGTGTCAGAGCTAAGAGCAGTGTCACTGCTGTTGTACAAGCACAGAATACTCTGCACCACATGACATAAATATGATGTTTTAGTAGCACAAGATTAGTACAAAGCCATTAAACAAAAGCAAAAACACATTGACATTTCATCTCTATAATGTATGAGTCCATGTAATGACAAACTGCCATGACATTTGTGTCTTTACTCATGTTGTTCTATTCTCGCCCCTTTCGAAGGCCAACGCTAACCTATCTACACACATTTCCTTCTATTATCATTTCCCACTGTGTAATGAACTATTGCTGCTGACTTACAGAAGATGTAGCGCAGATGAGTCAAATGTCTGGGGCCAAGTCATCCAGAGGAGCCAGATTGTTCTTGATGCAGGGTCACAGGAGCTGTTTATCCTATTTGATTCATAAGATGTAGTAAAGGCTTCAATCGTCCCAAGTGTCTCTTGTTCTATGGAGACAAAATAAACATATACTTGCATTTTTTCAATCAGCAACAATCTGAAGGTAACAGTGTTTAAGCGTTTGATTTATACTATCTTCATAGATCAATCTAAAATCTCTGACCCCAGACACAGAGTAAACATGCTTCAAATCATACAGTATATAAAATACCAATTGGATATTTGATGTAATATCCTGTCAGAAAGCAAAATCTGTCTGGGTTGCCAGTTTCTTTGGTGAAAGGCTGCTGGTTTGTTGAAAACTCCAGCATAGAACGGGATTGGCTACATGTGTGTGTGCTCTACGTGTTTTTAAATGTACTGGAAGCATGGTTTGGTTGTATTTGCAGTCATCTTTCATCTCAGTAAGAGCAAAAAATGGCTCTATATGTTTTTTTTATCATTGCATTTCCTGTGTTGAACTGTTGACTCTCTGATCTGTGTTTGCAAATTCAACTGTTTTGTCAAGTCCTCTGAGATAACTATTGCTGTGATTTAGGGATATACAAGAATACATTTAATTGAATTGAAAAACTCCATGAGGCTCTTTTTGTGGATTGCAGACAAAGAAACATACATATAGATTGTTATACCACAATTCTCTTTTGTTGGTTCAGTTATTAGCGAGTCTGTGATAAAAAGTTGTTGTTGTTGTTGTTGTTGTAGGATCTGAGTATAAACCCTGCATCCAGCCTCCTGTGTCGCCCTGTGGACAGTTTGGAGCCAAGGCCCAGAACAGCTCGCCCTTCTCCTCTCCTGAGTGCGTGGCTGAAGATGTTTTCTTTGAGTCCACCTTTGAGGACCAGGTACTGTGCCACTTTTAGTTTTCTTGAAATTAACCATCCATGCTTGCTAATATAAGGAGCTTTTACCACTATGACATCACGCTTAGAGCGGTTTTCTGCCTTTTAAAACAAAAGTACTGTCCATGAAATAGTTTCGGCAATATCTCAGGTGAAATTATGTTGTTTATAATTACATTGTTTGCAGCTGGTAATTTTCAAATTTGAAGAGGAACAAAAATATCTCTAATATATCTTGTGGTAGCATGAGGATAGGGCAGGCCGATACATTTTCATACTTGTTTCACCATATATTTCCTATTTAGGATATTATTTTACATTCTAAAACATGAAATGACAAAGTAGATAGATAGATACTTTATTGACCTCCCATAGAAGAAATTCAGGAGAGAATATAGCCACAAAAGATGCTTAATTTTACCACAACTTAAAACATACTCTTCTTTTGATCATATATGCTACTTACACATAATAATGATATATGTCACGATACAGGATCGATGTTCGGTGGTGAGTGACTATGACTGCCTGACGGAGGAGGAATCCTGCAGTGATCTCAACTCTTCTCTCAGTGACTGTCAGTACTTTCGAGACTTGGAAGGAGAAATACTGTCTTTATCCACTAGTGCTCCAATCCCGGGCCACGCTATTCCCTCGGCCTCGTCCTGTAACAGCCACAGCTCAAGCTTCGTCCCTCCGCTTCAGTCCAGGCCACTTCCAGTACGCAACATAGACAATATAGACATCACAGACATGGCTGCCTCGTCTGGGCCCAGAGTTGGTTTATCCATTGGTCTAAATGGACTGCTAGAATCCATGGAGTCATCAGGTCAAGAAAAAGAATTTGAAGATATGGATATTGTGGACACGGACCTGGATAGCTTCCCCACTTTGGTCCGATCTATGTCCACGTCTCGAAGGCACAGCTGGGGTACTCCTGTGTCCCCAATTAACCTGGGAAGAAGGTTTGTTTTTGTTTTTATGTTTTTTTAGTGTCTTCAGATGCCCAAACCCAAGATATTTCCAGTAGAAAATGAAGCTTCATGGTAAATTGTTATACTTAAAATAAAGTAACAATACAATTAATTTCAGCAGTCAAAAGTGTACTAGTCACAATATTGCTCTCAACAATATTGGTATGGTATATGTAATTGTCTATGACGTGAAATGTGTTGTGTAGGTGAGATGTGATGTCATAAAGTGAAGGAAGGAGCCAAAATGCAGGAAGTAAAAATATAATTTAATGAACATAAAAGTCAAGGGCAGGAATATAATGAAATAAAAGCCCAAGGTAAAAACAAGTTCAATATCCAAACGGAACACGGGAACCAGGAAACCGACAGACGAAGACAAACATAGACAATGGGCCAGCAACAAGAGGAGAGGAGCACAGGTACATATAGAAACAGACAGACACAGGTTAAACACTTTAGGGCGGGGCAAACAAGCAACAGCGAAACAGGACAGGAAGTCAAACTAAAACAAAACCACAGAGAACTGAAGTCAAAATAAAACCAAGTATAAAAATAAAATCCACACCATGACAGGAAGACCCATTAACATTTTGAAATGATCTGCTGTTTCTCTCCCAGCTCTCTGCATGCTCTAGTTGGTGTTATAAGCACTCTTGCTTCTCTGCAAGAAGCACCATGGTTCCAACTCCCATTGGCACAGGCCCTTTTGCTTTGGGTCTGCATATGTTTGATCTAGGTGCTCTGGTTTCCCTTAACTCTAAAAACAGTTGGAGATCCTGTCTGGGGCCAGGAATCCCTCTGGGGCCAATTAAATCTCAATTGAATTATAAAACAAATCTTTGTTGGGTTATTGTAAATAGTAATTCTGATAAAAAACAGCATTCATATAATTGATATTGTGCACTCATTTGTGTATGTGATGCAGACTCAGCTTGGACACAGCTGCAGTGGACAGTGATGGTGAAGAGGACAGACTCAACAGCAGCTTTTTGTCCCATAAAGAGCCGGCCGGTCCTGAGCAGGACGTAACAGACGGACCTGGGGTGAAGATCTCGAGAGAAAAGGTTATTTGAAGTAAAACAGTGGCTATAGTTAGAGGCCAGGACTGCGAGTGTTACCAGTGGACTGAGAATATGTAAACCAGTGCAGCAGTGTGTCTTTTTAATGTTTTTTATGTCATGTTTAGACAATAGTACTGATGCTGAGCAGAGGTTCTCGTCAGCAGGGTCACCTCATTGTTTCTGTTCTCACATGAGATTATTAGTGCAGTCACATACTTTTACTTGGGGAATAAACAAGATTATAAAGATTATTAAACACATTATAATGTCAAATCGTGTTCTACAGTTTGTTGCTTAATGTGGCTTCCCAGATTTGTCTTACAATTACATTTAAACCTAAAATAGTTTGAAAAAATTCTGCATTTTCTCAATTATTGCCATAGAGACCATATGTCAGACTTTGACATTATAATCATTAAGTTACATACCATACTGAACTCAGATGAGTGTATTTTGAGCTTGACGATTCCCCTCCAATCTTCACTTCATGACTGGTAATAATGACTAATGTATAAAAACTATTACTCAAACAGTGTAAATAGAAATACTAAATAAATTTGGCCTAGTCTAAACCTAATTGCAAGCCTTCCTAACATTCATTCCAGTTTTGTTCAGTTCAAACATCAGTGTACAAATAGTAGTCATTGGTTCAAAAATAATACTATATTGTAAAACATAGTTGCAAAGAGATAACCCCAAAGATGACTTGGACACCTCTGCTGTTTTGATAAAGTCTCTCTGATGCATGTACTTGCAGACGGCCGGTGCAGACAGACATCATAGGAGCTCTGAGCTTCTGTCCACAGATGAATGTTTTCGAGCTGCACACATCTCTCGTGTGGTACAGACGTCCAAACAGGCCGCCGGAGTTGCAGGAGGTGGGCTGCACATTTACACTACGCAGATGCTTGTAAAACTGCTATCATTCCTTTAAGCACCGTAATATTCTTTGTGCTGCAGAGCCCATGGAAAACCTGCATTCACGTGAAGGACAGAGCCATATGTGAGTGGACCAGAGCTTCAGCACACTCTGGCTGTAAAAATGTTGCAAACACATTCTACCTGCAGTGTTGTAGCTCTGATACATCCGTGCACATACTGTTCCTTAGTAATAAATCCTTACTCCCACATAACAGAGGGGGCTTTTCCAACTTTGCGTGGTCCTGCTCCCTGTCATGTGTCCACCAAATCCTCCTCCCTCTTTGCTCCTTTGCAGCTCCTTAGAAGGCCCCTGCTGTACAGTACGGGCCCTGATGTGTGTGTATTATGTGCAGACAGCAGCCCAGGGAGTATCCTTTTGTAAATTACCGGTACACTTTGACACAGGGCTCCTCTCTTCTCTCTTCACTGTAAGCCCTCTCTCAGGCCGTGTGTGTTGTTTGTCTTAGGCTGTTGGTACAGAAAGTCCTGCAGGAGCTGAAGTTGTACCATGGGTAAGTAAACAGAATTCAGAGAGGGAGGTCCTGGCTACCGCTGCTGCTGTTAAACAAGCAAGGGCCTGGTGTGTGTGTATGTGTGTGTGTGTGTGTGTATGTGTATGTATGCCTCCACTTTCCACTGTTTTTCCACTTTCCACTTTCACATTGACTGTTTTGCTCACAATCACCTGTGTCAAAAATTGGCATTTTCAAGTGTATTTGCTGCATGTACATTTAAGTCTTTCTTTCTTTCTTTCAATGTATTTAACAGTTTAAGATCTTTATAGTACATGTGCATCACATTAATACTGTACAAAAATATCAATCATATGTTATAACATAAACAGTAATACAGTACAAAACAAAACAAAATTTAACATCCCCCTTACCACCACCCCCACCCCCCACATTCGCTCTCAACATCCAGCCACAAACCTTTTGTGTACTGTCCATTCATACCCAGACGAACCTACACATTCACAGCCACTCACACACACACACACACACACACACACACACACACACGTTTTTGTTACCTGGTGGGTCCCTTTGACAGGGCCGTTCAGAATGGGACCCATAGACATAATCTTTTTTTACTGGGACTACTTTAAGTAATACAAAACAGTCAATAGAAACCAAACAACTATTTTAAAGGAATTTTATTTTAGATTTTGTTTTCGAATTGCAGTGATTCTATTTTTGACATAGAATTTAATGCCACTCCATGTCCGATGTCTAAGGTCATCTGGTGAGGCATTAATGCAGGCCAGGCAGTGAGACTTCCCAGGGACCTTTCCAGTCTGTATGAAAGGTGTCATGGTCTTCTCCACAGCCTTCACCTCAGATGCAGACCATGGCTTTCTTACACGTTCTAGGGAGAGAAATAAAAATATATTAGCAATATACACTCCCAGGGTTAGGACCAAGCAGCCTGGCTGTAATCCCCCACCTGGTACACTTACCAGAAGGGGCACTGCCACTACCATGGGGTGCATCTGGATGAATGGTTGAAGGTTCTCCGCTTGAAGTTTCTTTTAGCCCGTCCGTTTGTGAGAGGATCTCTACTGCTCTCCCTGTCGCACAGAAAATAAAAATACAAGTGGCCTTTAGGGGAAAAAAATCATACATATTTTAATAATATCAAGAATTACCTTCAGGCTCAATTTGTATCTGGTCGAGGCTCTTTCCTTCGAATTCCGTCACTCTTCCCTGCTCCATGGCCATCAACACTTTGCTGATTTTGGCCAGCTCCAGTGTCCCCTCTGGTAGTCTGTAATATTGCCTGTGGATGCGAATGTCATGGCCGAGGAAGTTGGCAAGTATGTCCATCTCATTCTCTTTCATATTGAGAACTGTAGACATAGTAGCTATGTGCTTTCTAAGTTTGGTTGAGGATAGCATCTCTGGATGCACCGCACCACATTCTTTGGCTACCTGGCGTAGGGAGTCTGATCCCCTGATGTGGGTGTCTGCGCCCCGGGCGGGAAAAGAAGTATGGGTTATGGTCAGAGATGGAACAGGCCCTTCTGTTCTCCACCAGCACCTCCATCGAAGCAATCATTTCAGGAGTCAAAAGAACCGGCACTTTCCGACTTCTTTTCCCTTTAATTTCAATGCGTTGAAAATGCTGACACAGCTTTTTCTCAAGTTGGGACAGTCCCAGAGCAATGTCAGAATGGATCCCAGTCTTACTTCTTAAGGTAAAGGCTGTCAGTGGCATCTTTGAAACCTCACCTTCCCTTCTTCGATTGAAAATGATGACCTCACAAAGAGTCAAAACTGCCAGTTTAGACCAATGCTTAGACGTTGGCTCACTTATTAGGGTTTGCACATATTCAGGTCGACATACCTCAATATGTGCATGCATGGCTCTAACGTCCTCAGTCAGAGGGAGCAGGTCCGGAGTGTTCCACTTGGCTTGCCGGAGGGTCTGTAGGGCAGCAGAAGAAACACAGACGTCCCACCTCTTCTCAAAAAGCAGCCGGCTTCGTTGGAGGTTTTTAATAAATAGTTCATCAACACAATGCTCCATTTTTGAGTCACATTCAAGAATATCTGCTAGCTTTCTGAGGCTATGGCCGAGTTTGAGGGCCAAGGATGGAGTCTTGTATTGATTTGTTTCCTCATCATATCCAGCCACAGACCTGACTGCATCAATCACATGGTTAAAGTTGGAAGGAATAAAGAAATCCTTAATTGTTTTCAGTTTCCCTGCGGTTTTTGCTTCGTTAATTAACCTACCGACTTCTCTCATTTTCTGCCTAATGTAATCATGCTTAGTCTTATCATGCCCGTGTTTTAAGTACAGGTGCTCTCCGAGTCTCAGAATCCCCTTTTCTGCTTTGACAACACCCGTGACCTCATCCTGATGCATTGCCGAAATTAAAGACCACAGCTTTTTGCTGATGCCCTCCGGTACAGGCTGGGCTAGGGAGCAGAGGGACTGGACCCTACTTCTACCTGGTTTAGCCTGGGCATCTTTCTGTGAAAGCCGGCACCTGGCCACATGCCTCCACAGCGACTTTCGCTTAAGCAATGCCCCACAGTCTATACAGTGCAAAAACTCACTGGATTTAACTGGGGAATTTGGCTGTTTAGCTGGGACTAAAGTTCCAATGCCGGCCTTTAAAACCTCAAAATTGTGCTCACGGTTTCCACTATTCCTGATCAAATCAAACTGAAGTTTACGTGCTTTAGATTTCACAGGTAGAGCCAATGCTCTGGCTACGTCACTTTCATTTCCATGTTTTCTAGTCAAATGACGGGACATTTTGTGGCAGGACATTGAACAGTAGAGGCAGAAGTGTCTCTTGCTGTAAACTCGCCCCCCATTTTTCTTCTTTTGCAGCTGCATGATAACAATCTTATTTGCCTTTGGTTCGTCACTTTCCGAGTCTTGAAGAAAAGTGTTTTTGATTTTTCTTTTTCCATACTTTTTTACAGGTTTCTTCTTGACAGTTAAATCGTCAGAATCTGAGTCGACTTCATCAATTAGGGACTCTTGACTAAGCTGCACAAACAACAAATAATTTGTAATCATTCTATATAACAATTTGAAGTCATGACTTGTAGTCAGCACTTACCAGTGGTTTGTAAGCGTGCGCTTCAGTGTGCTCCTCCATGATTTCTTGCAGCCTAATGAACCACACACTTGCACCTTTTTCTAGCCTGACACCTGATTTCCTCTGTTGTGCTGCTCCATGATTGGCTCCAGCCTGCTGGACTGAAATTGCCCCAGTGTGCCCCTCCTTGATATCCCGCAACCCACCACCAGGGTTCCGACACATAACACACTTTTTTCAGGAAAGTAAACCTCCAGGGGTCCTTTCCATATTTTTACAGAGACTGCATAAGGACCGTTAGAAAAGCATTACCCATTGATTATTAAGCTTGGACCAGTGGGGTCCGGTGTTCGGGCCCCACCACGTAAAACCAGTCCCCATGACGTGAGTGGAATCTCAGGTTATGGAACCCACCAGGAGTTGAAAACAAGTGCACACACACACACACACACACACACACACACACACACACACACACACACACACACGCACACAGGTCAGGATCATCACTAGCCATATGACGGATATGGCTTTCTTTAATATTCTAGCTGCATCTTCTCCAATGTAATCCAGTACAGGATTCCATATTTCGAAGAAGGTGTCGGTATTTACTTTTTTAAGATAAGTTAATCTTTCCAATGGGAAAAGGTTTAAGATGTTCTTAAACTAATCAGAGATACGTGGTCCAGCATCCTCTAACCAGTGCTGCATAATTGTTAATCTTGCACTGTACAAAAGCAGTGATATTAATTTTGTATGTTGTCTCAGTTTTGGATCAGAGTTCGACAATCCCAGAATACATTGGAGAGGGCAAGGCTTTACATGGTTTTTGACAATGGATGACATTTTTTCACATACTTCTAACCAGTATTGCTTTGTCATAGGGCACGACCATATTAAATGGACATAGGTAAACTCTATCTAATCAGAGGTGGGTATATTGTAGCCAACATGGGTTTTTTGTGCCTTCAGTGCAAAGAAGAAGATCAGCAACTCCAATGATTCAGGAAATGTCACCTGGTATGAATTCCTCTCAAAAGAGTATGCAATACTTCATTTACCTTATATTTGATCAACTTACAATCAACTTACATTATGGTGTTAAATGATCTTACGTTGATACATTTTGTGCAGGAATGAAGAAGAGGAAGACCATGGGGAAAAGGTGGAGAAAGGTACCAGGGTGAAGAGGAAGCTCAGCTCTCTCAGGAGCAGAGTGACTGGTTCCTTCAATAAAGATAAGGTAAGTCTATGACTAATAGCAATGGTTATATTGTACCTTCTGCACGATTGGCTGCAATAGTACTTTTTATGATTTATCATTGAGATGATTTGTTACACAAAGAATTGAAAATAAAAAACAGTCCTCCAAAGAAGTGTAAATAAAGCACTGCTTCATACTAATCCCATTACACAAACACTGCATTGGCCCATATGACATGCCTGAGCTGAAGTAAACAGTGAAGTTGAATCTAACACCTGCCTCCTGTTTGGTTTCTCTACAGGGTAAGACTCGAGAGAAAGAGCAGCAAAGAGAGAGGGTGAAGGAGGTGAAGGAGGTGAAGGATCAACAACACAGAGGCCGTGTGATCAGCAGTAACGGCCATGACTTTGTACCAGGGTCTTTCTCCAGCTGTGCCACCTGCTCACTGTGCAGCAAAGGCCTGCAGAAGAAGCATGGGCTTCAGTGCATGAGTGAGTACGCCACAGATGCATGCGCTTCACCTAAATGCACGCCTAACTGCATGTGCCATTTCTGGATATGGCATTGGAACGTGCTTATATATCTATATATATATATTTATTTATTTATTTATTTATTTATTTATTTATTTATTTATTTATTTATTTATTTATTTATTTATTTATTTATGTGTTTATTGATTTGTTTATTCTTTCTTGTGTGCTTTCCAAAGTAATAGAACGTGTAGTAACATGCTGCTTGCGTGAGAAAACAGTAGAGTCCCTTTAACGTGAGCCCAGCCCTGGGCCTGGACCACACACTGTACAGTCTGTGGACAGCGCCTGGGACAGGGCCGACAGACCGCAGCGGAACAACACAAGCCAAACTGGATCAAACTAACGACCTGGACATGTTTTATTACTGATTATAACAATCAAGTACATGAGGGAAACTCGAGGACACAGTGTATCTGCAAGAGGCTTAGTTTGGTCCTGATTAGGTAAGAATCACTCGCCTTCGCCCCGCAGCGGGATCAGGTGGATAATTCCCGTTGTTTGGCTCAAAAACACTTCCGAAATGTATCCTACATCCTACGCCTAAAACAATACCAACACAGCTGCTGTCTAACGAAGTTGTCTTAAGTTTTACGGGAGAAATATAAAGTGCATAAAAGTTATTTGTTTTCATAATTCTATCAACATTTAGTGATTTTCGCCTGAACTGAGTGAAACTGTGCTAACAGGTTAGCTTGTACCGTTAGCCTGTTAGCCTGTTAGCCTGTTAGCCTGTTAGCCGGGACCGATCCTGCGAGAAAGACTCTGTAAGAGTTTACACTTGTCTAATAGTTTTTATTGACACACTTTTAAACTGTGCACTTTATTACATCGTTATAAACGCCATGTATGTGTCCGAGGATCGGATCACAACACCTCCTTCAGAGGAATAACAGGACTTTGTGTTGTTAGGTTGCAGTTTGTGGTAGAAGCTCAACAGGTGATGCTAGCATCTTTAGCTGCATCGCGGCATCATACTGAAGACCACTCACATTGCCAAAAAAAGATAGACCTTTTCTAGAGAAAGGCCACAGATACAGACATATACAAGCCAATCACATTCATTAAATTTATGTCGCTTTAAACATGTGGCTGTTGTCTGGACGCTTGGATGCTGGATGGAAGTTGTTAAATTCTTGCCAGCTCTTTAGCTTTGGAAAATTAATTGACATTATATCGCTGACTATTATGATGTTATAATTGTTATTATTTTAGGCCATTAGGTGATTTACTGTATGCTTGCATTATGTTGTTCTTTGTAGTGTAGCTGTTATTTGGCAATTAATCAGATGGGAGGAATGCCTTATGAGTCAATCTTTATATGTGAGAACCCTTTTACAAAATGTATTATACTTTTTTATTTCTTGACTGCACTGCAACAATAGCATGAAATGGAATGACCTAGGCCTTCCTGCTCTGACTGGGCTGTTTCTAGATCACATGGTGCTAATTGTACTTGGCAGAACTGGACCATAACAACCCACTCCAGTGAGTTCTGTCTTCTCTTTTTTGCACAAATCATAGGCTTGGCCTGGACTCCTTTTGACCTGCTGTGTTTGTTCACTTAACACTTGTAGCTGCTCATGTTGTGTATCTGTCCCTTCCTCACTTGCACCATGTGCATGGTATAGGTTACTGCATAATACTATTTATTGTGATTCTGTTATGTTCTTTCCTCCACCCCCATAAAACCAAGGACATTATGTGGCTACTTTAGTTGTAACCTATGCAAAAACGATGCATGATGGATTGAGCTCTACTGATGACAGCTATCTAACAAAATAAACATTTTTACTTTCATTGGTTACTATTCATTCTATATTTTTATGCAATATATACATTATTATCAAAAATGAATTTTAAATACAGTAATGTTTTTGCAAAAACTCTTTGCAGTTTGCTTGTACTTTTTTCCACGGTGTTCTTGTGCTCCTTGTGAGAGGGCTTGTGGCTCGTCAGCACGTTTGAGCTGTGGAGGTGGTTCTGACGTCAAACTAAGAATGTGCTGATGGAGGCAACACCTTCATCAATGATGGCAATTAACCAGAATTTGAACGATGTCTGACACTGTTATCTAAGCTCCAAATGTCTTTGACAAGAAACAATACATTTTGACATTTTGAGATACATTGTGGTTCTGAAATTCTGATTGTAGAAGCCCTTATAAAGGCTGCAGATAAAGGCTTCTTTACCCGAGTTGAAATGCTGTGTTGACTCACGACAACAGTGGGAAACAGAGGGGAATGACACGTGTCAAAATAATAAGGTCAAAACTTCTGACTTTCAATATCAGTCTTCTAAAATCACTGTGACTCAGGTCCCCTGTGAATCACATCATAGTTTATCATCTACATGGAACAATAGAAGCATTTGTTAGTAGCTGTTAGTAGCATAGTCAGCGTAGTCAAGGTATGAATTCAATTACATTTATTTCAGTATAGCCCTAAATCAGCAAATTATACAGCAGTCATCTCAGATGACTTTAAAAAGTTGTTGAATCACTAACATCCGATCAGGGAAGCAAACAGTTCGTAACACAGGAAATATTATAATTAAAACACATAGACGCCATTGGTCCTTAAGGAGCGGGACAACCTATATGCATATTTTTATCCATTTCCCTAAATGTTGTGTACAAATCTATCAATGATTGTTTTTGTTCAAACTTGCGTATACAATTAACATAAAACAACAGAACACAAAATACACAAAAAGGGGTTGGAAGAAGCAGACACTTATTTGGCTTGGACCCCTCACGTATACAACAGGGTAAAAAACACAAAACACACACTCAACACAACACAGAGGCACAAACCCTCTCTGACCCTACCCCCTTTTCCCACTACTTCTACTCCTTGATCCTTATGCATTTGGAACACACCAATAAATAAAATATTGATGCAGATCCAGGAGAACTGTTTCAGGAAAATTGTTTTTTAATTACTTGCAGGATAAATGACAGTGAGAAAACACAATTGGATGCATTTTGTAAAAAGTTAGCTGTGATTTGATAGAAAAAAGGTTTTATTTTTAGACTCTTCCCTGATAAGATAAGATGAAAGATTGATCTCACATTGATAAATGTACATGTCACATTTGGCTTCAATAAGACCACTTAAAGTGTGATGGACACATGTGTCTCTAGTCTAATCTCGCATACCTGTTCTCCATGTCACAACATTGTTCCTCATCAAAAACAGATCTAGAGTTGTTTTAGTTCCATTAACTTATCATGCACGTCTGGCACAAACATGTAACTCAACAATCCTGTTTCAAACCTGATTATGAAAACACTATTACATCATGGTGTTCATTCATCATGTCAAGCCATTTTCTACTGTTGGGGAGTTACTTACTGAGACCATTTTTATTCTCTAAATGTATCTATATATTTCATACTTAGGACATTATTTTACTTTCCAAAGCATGACATTTCAAGGTAAAGGTAAATAGTGCCATTATGCTTAATATAATGTATACATTTCTTCTTTAAATTACATATATTTTTAGTATGAGAAAAAGATACTGTCACATTTTGATAATCCGCTATTATTCTGTGACTGAGCTCAGTTGGTAGAGCATTGGCCTTAAGGCCTGAAGGTTGTGGGTTCATTTCCCACCTCGACACCTTCTCCACCGACTCCCACTGATGTCTGCTGTCGTTGTGTCCTTGGGCAAGACACTTAACCCCACTTTGCCCGAAGCCCCCGCTGAAAGATCTCAGCTCCTGTGGACTCACCCCCTGCAGGAGGATCAGTGAGGGGCTGTTGCTCTGTGTACTGGGTGCAGCTCTGACTGCTACCCCCCCCCGACCCAGAAATGGATTAAGGGAAAGAAAATGGATGGATATTCTGTGACTGAACTAGATTTAAGCCAAAAAAAGGGATGCATTGCGCAAAACATATCTGATGTATCCACTACCACTTTCCACTGATGTATCCACTTTCCGCTATGGCGATGTTATTTGTTGCGTGTATAACAGAAGTTTGACTTGAATTCTTACTTTGTATAGGCGGCACACTTCTCTGCAGATGTATCATGTGACATGGTAAAAATCACGTCACATGCTTGTCTCCAATGTAGACAAATATATCAACTTTCCAGGCAAAATAACAACATTTAGATGGTGCTCAATGCAGTAGGGTTGGGAAATAATTCACCCGTTTAAAAAATAACCAATATGTGAATAAAGTCAAATTTGTGAACAGTGTCAATAAACACTGGTAAAATAGATTTAATCGTGGGAGGAAATAAAATCAACATGTAACTTCATTGTCAAATCACCCAGTCGTTCCCTTAAGTCAGCCATTCCCAAACTCAGTAACACCGAGGCCCCCTTAAAAATCTGACGGGTCTGCGTGGCCCCCCAAAATAATAACCAAGAAGACAACATTAAGAATAGGCTCTTCTGGTTATTTTATTTTGGGGAAATAGCCTCTGCTACAAACATTGTAATACAAAAATGATTACAGTGGATTATTCAAGTCAAATAATGAACACAAATATTTTAATATTACAAACAAAACATTATAAATTTAACATTAAATATATATATATATTTTTTTTATGACCTCCCGCGGCCCCCCTGCAGTACCCTCGCGGCCCACTAGGGGGCCGCGGACCCCACTTTGGGAGACACTGCCTTAAGTAATTGCAGTTGTGACTCTCCTCATCAAAGACTCAGAACTTTCACTTATGACATTTTGACGTAATCACTGCTCTGATTAACTATACATTGTCTTGCACATGATATTTTTCAATCTTTATAGACTGGATAATAATCATTAAAATAATGATTTGATAATCAAAAAAGATTAGCTGTGATTAATTAGTCTTGTTATTGAGTGTGTTGTGCAGAAAATGAATAAAACAACTTTGCGTTGCCATCATTTGTTTGTTCAGTCTATCCCTCGGGAGATCAGTCAATCTAATGTGCTGTAGGCACATTTTCCAAACAAATGGTCTAAGCAAAGATAATATACTGTATATTGACAATATGAAAAGGAAAAAATTTAATAAAATATTGTTAAATCACAAAATTTTAAGATTTGTTTCCTTTTCAGATTGTGCTGTCAACGTGCACAAGAGCTGCAAGAGCTTGCTTACTGAATGCACCAGTCATAAGGTAATGAGGAGATTGTAATATTAAATATCAGTTCACAAACGACCCCTCTGTTTTTCCCACAGAGAGACTCTTCGTCAAGGTCAGGCCCATCAGTGTCCTCCTACTTGGGTAAGTGTTACGTATAATATACAGTGCCTTTCGAAAGTATTCAGCCCCCTTGAACCTTTCAACATTTCGCCACATTTCAGGCTTCAAACATAAAGATATAAAAATATTTGTTTTTGTTAAGAATCAACAACAAGTGGGACACAATCGTGAAGTGGAACAAAATTTATTGGATAATTTAAACTTTTTTAACAAATAAAAAACTGAAAAGTGGGGCGTGCAATATTATTCGGCCCCCTTGCGCTAATACTTTGTAGCGCCACCTTTTGCTGCAATTACAGCTGCAAGTCGCTTGGGGTATGTCTCTATCAGTTTTGCACATCAAGAGACTGGAATTCTTTCCCATTCTTCCTTGCAAAACAGCTCGAGCGCAGTGAGGTTGGATGGAGAGCGTTTGTGAACAGCAGTCTTCAGCTCTTTCCACAGATTCTCGATTGGATTCAGGTCTGGACTTTGACTTGGCCATTCTAACACCTGGATACGTCTATTTGTGAACCATTCCATTGTAGATTTGGCTTCATGTTTTGGATCATTGTCCTGTTGGAAGATAAATCTCCGTCCCAGTCTCAGGTCTTTTGCAGACTCCAACAGGTTTTCTTCCAGAATGGTCCTGTATTTGGCTCCATCCATCTTCCCATCAATTTTAGCCATCTTCCCTGTCCCTGCTGAAGAAAAGCAGGCCCAAACCATGATGCTGCCACCACCATGTTTGACAGTGGGGATGGTGTGTTCAGGGTGATGCGCTGTGTTGCTTTTGCGCCAAACATATCGTTTTGCATTGTGGCCAAAAAGTTCGATTTTGGTTTCATCTGACCAGAGCACCTTATTCCACATGTTTGGTGTGTCTCCCAGGTGGCTTGTGGCAAACTTTAAACAAGACTTTTTATGGATATCTTTGAGAAATGGCTTTCTTCTTGCCACTTCTTTCTTCCATAAAGGCCAGATTTGTGCAGTGCACGACTGATTGTTGTCCTATGGACAGACTCTCCCACCTCAGCTGTAGTTATCTGCAGTTCATCCAGAGTGATCATGGGCCTCTTGGCTGCATCTCTGATCAGTCTTCTCCTTGTTTGAGATGAAAGTTTGGAGGGACGTCCAGGTCTTGGTAGATTTGCAGTGCTCTGATACTCCTTCCATTTCAATATAATTGCTTGCACAGTGCTCCTTGAGATGTTTAAAGCTTGGGAAATCTTTTTGTATCCAAATCCGGCTTTAAACTTCTCCACAACAGTATCTCGGACCTGCCTGGTGTGTTCGTTTGTCTTCATGGTTCTCTCTGCGCTTTAAACAGAACCCTGAGACTATCAAAGAGCAGGTGCATTTATACGGAGACTTGATTACACACAGGTGCATTCTATTTATCATCATCAGTCATTTAGGACAACATTGGATCATTCAAAGATCCTCACTGAACTTCTGGACTGAGTTTGCTGCACTGAAAGTAAAGGGGCCGAATAATATTGCACGCCCCACTTTTCAGTTTTTTATTTGTTAAAAAAGTTTAAATTATCCAATAAATTTTGTTCCACTTCACGATTGTGTCCCACTTGTTGTTGATTCATGACAAAAAAAGCCTGAAATGTGGCGAAATGTTGAAAGGTTCAAGGGGGCCGAATACTTTTCGCACTGTATATATATATATATATATATATATATATATATATATATATATATATATAATAGGGGCTGTCAAAAGGATCGTGTTAACTTCTAAACTATAACTAAATGATTTGTTTGAATGATTTGTTTGAAGGATTTGAAACTGGTATAACTATGCATTTTCATGAGATGAATAAAAAAAGAACCTAACCTAGAACTCATGAAAACGGAACAAAGAATTCTGAACATCAGTGGTGAGTGACCCAAATATAAACTCAACCTAACTACTCAACCGGACTACTTGCGGAGTAATCTACACATCTGAATTACAAGCAGAGGGTGCGTTGCCATGGGCAGCGGCCATTATTGTTTTGAGAGGTCTTTTATCAAGAAATAATGACCGGTAGATTCAATTAACAGAGAAGTTTCTGCCAGAGAAGTTTCTGCCAGTTCAGTTCTATGTGATATACCTCCACCTTGGCCGGTACACCAAGGTGGAGGCAGTTTAAATTAATCTCCTGTTGCCTTAGTTATCTTCATGTGAACAGCTGGGCTCTTACCAAATGTACCTGATTTTTGTGTACACGTGTTACATGTGAGTTTGATGCACCTGGGGTGCCTTATCAACAGGGGGTAAGTGGCCTTTCTACAGTGGTATCATACAGTACTGTATGTTTTTCACTGGCAAGTTGGGGATTCAATTAACTGAGAAGTTTCTGCCAGTTCAGTTCCATGGGATAGACGGCCAAGGTGGAGGCAATTTAAATTAATCTCCTGTTGCCTTAGTTATCTTCATGTGAACAGCTGGGCTCTTACCAAATGTACCTGATCTTTGTGTACACGTGTTACAACCAATCAATGGCCTGCGTAGGGGGTCAGGAAGACAAAGAGACGTGTGAAGAATAAAAAAGGTTGAACCTGACTCTCGAATTTTCTCGATCCTTTAAAACAAGAGGCACTGAGCTGAATTCTTTTTCTTCTTTTGGGGCTTCATGCGCACTACAACTAAAACTGCAGCTGAGATTATTTGTTGCGGATCTGTACCATGCCCTTAGCTTTAGGAAAAATACCTCTTGGCGCCGCTAAACCTTGTTTGAGGAATGTTAAGGTGTTTTCTATGTGCTCTGTGCCCTTGTGTGGTACGTCCGTTCGAGTGCGAATACACTGAGGCTTTCCAATTCTTCCGTTCTTCATCAAGATCTTGCGTGAAAAAATTCTGGAGACAGCTGCCGTCAAGCAAACACGTCATGTTTCTTTCCATCTCATTCTCTCATCTTTGGAAAAATGCTCACAACTCTTGCTGTTTATCTTTCTCACCTGTCTTTTGTTATGTGCTCCCACAGTTAAAGACAGAGAGGCAGCATCCTCCCAGGCCCTGGATGGCCACACAAGTTGTCCCAGTGGTCCAGGCATGACCATTCTTTCACGGGGAGGTCACACTCAACCAGCTGCTGCCCAAAGCACCAGCTCGAGCGCAGCCTCTGCCCCTGCAATGGCCAGCCTTCGTCACCACAGCAGCTCAGGGTCAGTGCCCTTTCCGCTAAATATTAGTTAAAAGGTTAAGTGAAACGATTAGATTAGGGGGAAATGGTTTTGTTTGTCTGTGGTAATGGTTTCACTAAATTGCAGGAATTGAATCATATGTATTCTTCTGTTGTTGTTTTCCCAGATCCCTCCCTGGGGAGATGGACGAAACAGACAGTCTACGATCCAAACGTTGCAATGAAGATGTCATATCTCTTGCTCCCTCAACAGTGGAGTCAATTAATGTAGAGGGTAAATCATCTTAGTATCATTTACCTTTGCATGTTTAATGTTGGTACCAATTTAAATTTATTTTTGTATAGTCCTAAATCACAAAAGCAGTTGTCTCGGAGGACTTTGCTAACATATCAGAGAATGACAGGAAATACATGAATAAACACATAGAAGCAAATTGTCTATAGGAGGATCTTTGAGTGACGTCGTTGTTTATAGTTTTCCCGCGCCAGTCATGACTGGGTGGAAAAAAAGCAGCAACTGCTTCAGAGATAGATAGTTTTTGATGTTTGGAGAGAGGTTTTACTAAATGAGTTGTGTGATCGGTTGTACGGCCGCCTTATTTTTTAGCTTATCTTTATATCTCCTTCAATCTTCTGCAAAGGGAAGCTCCTCAGGTTTTCCCTTTGTGCTCCCTTTGTGCTTGTATATCTGATCTGTCCGATCTTCCATATAATGTGGTTTTATATATACTGCATTTTGCCAGCAATCTTTAAGTCTGACCACAAATTTTCTATTGGATTGAGGTCTGGGCTTTGACTAGGTCATTCCATCACATTTACGTGTTTCCCCTTAAACCACTAAAGTGTTGCATTAGCAGTGTGTTTGGGGTCATTGTCCTGCTGGAAGGTGATCTTCTGTCCTAGCCTCAAATCACGCACAGAGTGGTACAGGTTTTGCTCATGAATATCCCTGTATTTAGCACCATCCATTTTTCCCTCAACTCTGACCAGTTTCCCAGTCCCGGCTGCTGAAAAACATCCCCACAGCATGATGCTGCCACCACCATGTTTCACTGTGGGGATGGTGTTCTTTGGGTGATGTGAGTGTGTTGGGTTTGCGCCAGACATAGCGTTTTCCTTGATGGCCGAAAAGTTCCATTTAATCTCATCAGACCAGAGCACCTTCCTCCATACATTTTGGGAGTCTCCCACATGCCTTTTCGCAAACTCAAAACATGCCATTTTGTTTTTTGCTGAAAGTAATGGCTTTCTTCTGGCCACATAAACCCCAACTCTATGGAGCGTACGGCTTATTGTCGTCCTATGTACAGATACTCCTGTCTCTGCTGTGGAACTCTGCAGCTCCTCCAGGGTTACCTTAGGTCTCTGTGCTGCCTCTCTGATTAATGCCTCTCTGATTAATGCCCTCCTTGCCCGGTCCGTGAGTTTTGGTGAGCGGCCGTCACATGGCAGGTTTGCTGTTGTGCCATGTTCTTTCCATTATTATGGATTTAATGGTGCTCCTGGGGATCATCAAAGATTTGGATATTTTTGTATAACCTAACCCTGACTTGTACTTCTCAACAACACTGTCCCTTACTTGTTTGGAGAGTTCCTTGGTCTTCATGGCAGTGTTTGGTTAGTGGTGCCTCTTGCTTATGTGTTGCAGCCTCTGAGGCCTTTCAAAAAAGCTGTGTACTGTATATGTACTGACAGATCATGTGACACTTAGATTGCACACAAGTGGACATCATTTCACTATTTGAGGGTAATTGGTTGCACCAGAGCTTTTTATGGGCTTCATAACAAAGGAGGTGAATACATATGCACATGCCAATTTGCAGTTTTTTATTTCTGAAAAATTGTTTTATGTATATATTTTTCTCAATTCACTTCACCAACTTAGACTATTGTTTTCTGATCCATCACATAAAATTCAGATTAAAAAAACATTGAACTAAAGGCTGTAATGTAACAAAATAGGTAAAAAGCCAAGTGGATGAATACTTTTGCAAGGCACTGTAGATCACAGCTGGGGGCTGTGGGGGTACACAGGTACAGGCCAAAGTGGTCGGGTTCAGGGGTCCGTCATTATGCCATGAAACAGACAATGGGACAGCGGGTGAATAGCAATGAACAGACTACAGCTGAAGTCATGATGATGACAGATGAAGAAGGAAGAGGAGAGAATAGTGTTCAAGTTACTATACTTGTCCCAGCAAGTGTCTCCATATGCAGCTTGACTGATAATCTGTGTTTTTGACGCAAGGTTGTATTATCTAACAATATGCTGAATTACAGAGGAATGTTGAGCCTGGCCTTAAATGTAGAGATTTTTTCTACTTCCTTTGTACAACCACGGATGTTATTTATGTATTAATTTTGAGAAGGCAGATGCAATTTCTTCAAACTAAATGGATCTTTTCCTCTGCAGATGTTCACTATGCTGCTGTGCGGGCTGATCTTGAGTCTGATGCACAAGATCTGGAGGCAGAATCCTGGAGTTCGGCTGTTGACCCACAGTTTGTGAAAAAACATTCCAAAGGCCTTGTAAAGAGACAGGATGTTATATACGGTACGTTTGTTTAGGTGTATGATGCACTAATGTAATGACCTGTTGTACCTTCAAGACCTTTTATTCGAATACTGTACATATGTAGATATCCACATATCACTTGTATGTCTGTGCTTGTGTCTATGTACACACCCACTCGTGGAGAAACTAATGATTTACCGTTTGTGTAACTGTAACAAAAATTACAATAAATAATGGGGGTGAAAGGATTAATCAAATATTTAAAAAAATTGCTTACAATTTCTTTGCCTCTATTAATCAGATTTTTTTTACCTAAAATATGTAAAATTATTACACATCAAATACATTTTTGCTATGCATTATTTGTTTGGGGGAGGCCTCTGCACTGAGAGCGGTGATGGGCTGTGTCTGTGGGGGTCCCCTGTGGCTACAAGTGGCTCTCTGCTCCTAGTGCAGACGGCTCCTTGGATGACACTTCTTCAGTTGGTTACATCTGAACGCTACCAAGTCTCTCTTCATGGTCTTACTGTTTAACTGATGTGTGTGTGGGCGTGTAGGAGAGCGTGTGTGTGCGCGTCTGGGTGTGTGTGAGTTTTTAATAATATATGTGGTTTGGGGTGGGTCTTTTGGGTTTTCGGGGTGAGGGTTCATGGGCCGGCAGGATTGTTTTAACCGTGTAAAGTGCCAAACTGCCGTTGTGTCTTTAGGCAAGACACTTCACCCCCATTCCCTAGAATGAGTCTGGTGTGTGTGTGAAGGGTTGGTGGTGGTCAAAGGGGTGGTCAATGGCACATACTGGTTGCCTCGCTTCTGTTAGTGAACCCCAGGGCAGCTGTGGCTACAGTAGTAGTTTGAGTGTCAAAAAAAGCCTTATATAAAACCAATGCATTATTATTATTAATATTATTATCTTCTGTATGAAAAGCGCTTTATAAATAAAATATGATTGATTGATTGATTGTTTAAAAATGCAGAACAAAATACGAGTAAGTGCTAGATTAATCAACTACATAGCTGCAAGGTTTGTGTTTGAGTGAATGGTGTACTATATTGTGAATCAAAACAGATGATTTGTGAGTTCTCTTAATGGTTGCAGTTCTAGTTAAGTGTTATTACGTATCTAAACTGTGGTGCTTTTGATCCTGTAGAGCTGATGCAGACAGAGATGCACCATGTGAGGAACCTGAAGATCATGTTGCAAGTTTATGTTCATGAGCTGAAGGAGAGTCTTCAGATGGACTCCAGCAGAATAGACTGTCTGTTCCCTCGTCTGGAAAACCTGCTGGAGCTGCACACACACTTTTTGTCCCGACTCAAAGAACGGCAAAGAGAAAACCTTCATCCTCCCAACACCAGGAACTTCATTGTACACAGAGTAGCTGACATTCTAATCGCACAGGTACAATTATATTTCACATTAGTATTTGTTATATCATTTGCAAAATTCCTAATCGCTGTGTGGTAATATAACACTTGTTTTTAGTTCTCAGGTGAAGTTGGAGAAAAGATGAAGGAGAGCTATGGAGATTTTTGCAGTCACCATTGTGAGGCCGTCGCCTACTATAAAGAGCAGCTACAAAACAACAAAAAGTTTCATGCCACCCTTCGGGTAGGACAACTACCATCTGTTATGAATATATTTTCTGCTTAAATCTGCTTTTGATCATTTATCCTTCTCCCCAAAAGAAAATCAACAACTTGTCTATTGTGCGGAGGCTAGGTGTGCCAGAGTGTATTTTGCTGGTGACACAGCGCATCACTAAATACCCTGTGTTGGTAGAACGAATACTTCACAACACTGAAGGTAAAGCATCACACTTTGCATTCTGGGAATTGGGACAAGAGATGACATGTACTGTTGCTCTTTTCTCCTCCACAGCTGGTACACAGGAGTTTGAAGAGTTAACTCATGCGCTGGCTCTGATTAAACAAAAAATTGTTCAAGTGGATGCATTAGTCAACCTTTATGAGAAAACGACACGCCTCAGAGATATTTACAGCAAAATGGAGCCAAAGTCACAAGGGAAAATCAAAGATGGTCGAGTGTTTCGCCGGGAAGACCTCGCTCAGGGGCGACGGCGGCTTCTGCACGAAGGCACAGTCAACTGGAAGGCCGCCTCTGGCAGACTCAAAGGTATAGACTTCTTGATTTGAAGTTGTAACTTTACTTGGTAGTTAGATTATTATTAGTCCTCTTGACCAAGCAAAAGTAGATTTTTAAAAATGCATTCTTTTTGCAGATATTCTTGCAGTCCTCCTGTCCGATGTGTTGATCTTGATTCAAGAAAAAGACCAGAGATATGTTTTTGCCACTGTGGTGAGTTATCCATCTTTAAAGCTGATTCTTGTTTGATATTTGGTATTGACTTGTTTGTTTTTAGATAATTAACATAAACGATTCTTCCTCTTAGGATAACAAGCCATCAGTGATCTCTCTTCAGAAGCTGATTGTTCGAGAAGTGGCTCATGAGGAAAAAGCTATGTTCCTTATCTGTGCTTCATCCAATGAACCAGAAATGTATGAGATCCACACCTCCTCAAAGGAGGAACGCAACACATGGATGACTCACATTCGGCAAGCTGTAGAAAGGTGTGTACAATATAAATTGTGTTATTGGTTGTGCTTTACAATGTGCAGAAATGCACCTACATGGTAAGGAAATATACATTATTGTTGTCACAAGCCTCTCATAAGCAAGGCGGGGACAGAATTACTGGGTACAAAATGCATACAGAAAGTGAGTTTTATTTATTTATTATTCAACCAAACTACTGTAATGAATGAAAGTAAAGCATGAATTTTGACTGCATCTTTACAAATTGAACTTTCCCCACTGGGACGAATAAAGGATCTCTTAATCAAAGCAGTCATTCTGTTTATTCTATGTTCAACAGCTGTCCTCAAACAGAAGAGAGATTGTTTAGTGAGGAGGAGGAAGCACGTGCATCAAGACTCAGAGAATTTCAAGGTATGGTCACATAAGACAAGGGCCCCTTTTTGATCCCTAAATGTGGATCATCTACTGTTACAAAAAAACATTGTAGGAAAATTAAAAATCACTGGCAACAAATATTTGTCTAAATATCAAAAATTCACTTCAATCTTCAGATGCTAAAATATTTTTAAGCGAAGTCTTTATTTATATAAAGGATTCTACAGTCAGCTCAAACAAACACTCTATTGTGCTGCTAAAGTACTGAATAAAGTATACAAGTAATGCATAAGATAAGCAAAATAAAAGGGTACAAACTCTTGCGTTCATTAATGGCTCTAGCCTTTTGTGAATAGTGCAGCATATGGACTGTAATAAATAGCAGATAACTGCTCCACCACTGGGTGGTGCATTTGTACCATTTGATTCCTACTGTACAGGACCTCTTTACAAGGTGTTTTTTGTGTAGTTGTTAATGACTTTACTGATGCTTGCAGAGCGTCTAAGCCAGAAGGATGCAGTGATTATGCAGGCTCTCAGTGAGAAGTTGCAGCTGTTCGCAGATGTAGCCGAGTCTGTGGCTGGAGTGGAGGACACAGCCTCTCGCTCCAGACTGCTGCTACGTGGTGATGCCACAGACCTCCAGCAGGGGGAGGCACTTCTCAAAGGAGCCATCACTGAAGGTGGACACTTTTCAAACTTCTTTGTTGTTTAAATGGCTATAATAATCAACATCAACAACTTATTTTGTCTACAGTGGAGAACTTGCAGAACCTTTTACAGTCTGGAGTGAAGGAAGAACCACTGGAGGAGGTCTCTGGGGCTCTACTCAGGAGAGCAGGAACCTTTGGGGGTTATGACAGTACAGCCCTCCTTAATAACAGTGAGTTCTGACAAGGCCCCTATATCAGATATATTCCTGTTTCTATGGTCCCCTCTCCTACTCGTAGAGCCAGTTGAGGTGGCTCGGGCATCTGTTTCGGATGCCTCCTGAACGCCTCCTTCAAAGGGAGGTGTTCCGGGCGTGTCCCACCAGGAGGAGACCCTGGAAGACCCAGGACACGTTGGAGAGACATTGTTTCTCAGCTGTTCTGGGAACACCTCGGGATTCCCCCGGATGAGCTGGAGGAAGTGTATGTAGGAAGAGAAGCCTGGGCGTCTTTGCTTGGACTGCTGTCCAGCTGAAGAAAATTGATGCATGGCTTTTTTATGTTGATATTGATTTCATTTTATTTTTTCAGATTGCAATGTCAAGACTTCTTCTGAGAGTAAAAACAGAGATAGGAGCCAGCGAGCCAGCTCTGATCCACAGCTGAAAGACCTGTGTGGCAACGTTACGCATGAAGAAACGGTAGGCTCTATATTGGACAGTATTCACCCTCTTCCTGTGAGTTCTACTAGTGAGGGCCATTTATTCTGTTATTTTATGGAGTCAAGTTTTATGCAGACACTGAGATGTTGAACGATTGGTTTGAGAATTAGATAACTCACATAGACCAATTAAACCAAAAACGCACATGCTGTAATCCTAGGAACACGGATTCAGCTGTCAAAGTCCCAAAGTCCCAAATTCACAAATCCTTTTAGCAGAGATGGTTAGGGTCTTTTCTAGTGGTTAATCCAACCTGTAACCACGTAAACCGGACCAAACTGAGACAATACAAGCACTTGTACATACATACATACCTAATGTATGTATTTGGACATATCATTTTGATCTTGTTGCATAATTGTTTGCTCAGGTTGATGAAAGTTGTTGCTCACCTCTGCGATGGAACAGGATCTGGATGGAATCTTTCCCTGAGGCTGAGGTCAGTTTTTCTCTGTGCTTAAGGGTTCATAGAACGTAGTATAGCTTAGTTAGATTTACTGATGTTGCTGTTTTCTATTTCAGTTTTTTGACAGAGTCCTCATGCTTTCTCAGAGGCTTTACAGTCTGCAGGTAATAGGGGTGGTGAAGTGTTGGATTATGCCTTAAATTTAAAATAATATTTTAAAGTTTTTATATTTATTGTTTTCTTCAGGCTATCATTTCTCATCAGGACAGTCAAATCGAATTGCAACGAGCCTCATTGATTGACCGTGCCTCTCTTCCAAGCCGATATCGTGGTAACTGTCTTCAGGAGCAAGAGAAGCAGAGAACCTTAGCTCTCCAAAGAGAAGAACTGGCCAATTTTCACAAACTTCAAGCACAGCATCGCCAGGAACAGCAGCGCTGGGAAAGGGAACGAGCAAAGCACCATCAACAGGTGGAAGCCACAGAGGCCAAACTGCAGCAGAGAGAGGAGGAGTGCAAACGGTTGGAGGTAAAGCATACCCATGTGTGAGTGTGTACTGTAGATAGTGTATGATGTACGGTAAATAATATCATCATACTTGATCGCAGGAACAACTCGCAGAAGAACGGCAAGAACTAGAGCAACAGCGTGAGAAGTATCAGGAGGATTTGGAAAGACTGAGAGAGTCGACCCGAGCTGTGGAGAAAGAGAAGGAACGCTTGGAACATCAGAAAAAATGCAAGAGGAAAACCATAGAGGTCATGACCAATGTAGGTATTTCACACATGTCTTATCTCCTTTCAAATATTTGAGTGTGTTGCTTTGGTCACTTTGAGGTGTGATTAATGTGCATTGACTGCTAGATAAACCAGCATTGTTGATCAGAGCTTTGAAGCACTCAGTCCTCAGGTCCACCTGGTCTCTTTACTTGTGTACCTAGCTTCATTTTCTCGTGCAATGTTTCTTTGTGTAATGGTGTCATGAACAGTGTTCCCTCTGAGCGAGAGATCGCTGTTGAAAACTATTCACATTATGATACACCTGCTGCGATGCCATTCAAGTCTTTTAAAGATGGTGAATTAAAGTAGATTTAGGAATAAATTTGGTGAGTTGCCCTAAAAAAACAAAACATTAATAGGGAATTTATATTTATGATATAGACTAATTAGAGTCTAAATTATGAACTGAAGGGGGCGCTGGTCTTACCAACAAAGTTACTTAACAGCAGTGAAAATGTAAATGCTAACAACAAAACCTCAGCAAAGGGATGGAGGCAAAGAAATGGACGCACACACCGCAGCAGCTGTTGAAGTGCTCGTAAGACCGAGTCCGCATTTGCGGTTCATGGTTTGAGGGTGAGGTTGGTCCTATCTCTGTTCTGGTCAAGCGCACGTTCTGACTATGTGCTGGGCACTTCCCCACACTCACGGACGGCACCTTGTCACAGGCAGTGAGCTCTGACTTTTTCTGAGACCCAAAAAGCACCGCGCAATTGCGCACAAAATAATCATTGCCAGTCCTCAGTGGTAATGTTTATTTCTTCAAACATTGCTTTTGAATTGTAAAAAGAAAAACACCCCAAGTCAAATTAAAGTCAAGTCATCATTATATGGCCCCAATGTTTCAAAAGGCATTATTAAATCATGCTCTTTTCGAATACATCTTTAACTGATAAAAGTAGATCAGCTGAGATATTTTAAAATCAAAATTAGTTTTACGACCCGTAAAATATGTTATTATTTTGATTTCGATGTCCCACCCGCCGCTGTTGCGCCAATCAGGAAGTCTGTGATCTGGGTTGCCAGAACTCCTCACGGCTAATCTCAGTGGTAAAATAACATGTGGCCGTAGAACTAAAAAGGTCTTGTTATGACTCTAAAATCATTAATGACAAAACAAAGACTAAAACAAGGATTTATATCGAGACGCCTTTGAAAGTTTTTGTGTGATGGAAAACTTGATCGACTGAGTCAGTTTTTCTCCTGAGCATTTATCATGTGCAACGGTGGCCTAATGGTTAAGACATGCAACATGGAGTCATGTTGCATAACATTACATTTTGTGACAGATTGCTAAAAATCAAGTAAAAGACAATAATTGAGACGTTTTTTGCAAATTAAAGCTTAGTTGTAGAATCATTTGAGACCACATGTACCCAATTAAAATAATGTTTGTCTCTGTTTGATGTGGGACTTGTACATGTATGTCTAAAAAATAGGGAATAAATAAAATTGAAGGGTGATATCCTCTGGAGGAAACCCTGATGTTGATACGCTGAAGAAATATGTTCCAACATCCATTCTTCCCACTCCTATTTTGGACATCAATTGCTTATTTTGCATAATCTATGTATAATTACATTGCTTTTATTTAATTTTTCTGATCTCAAATGTCCAAATAAAAAAAATAAAAAATGTATTCAACATTAGCACGGCTATCATGGCAATGTGAATGGAGACAAACAACTGATAAAATAATCCCCTGTGTTTGCTGCTGGATTTGGTGTGTATCTGGCAACCTGAGTCAGGGAGAGTGGGAGAAGACTACAAAATATTGACTGACTGCAGTACCACTTTTTGGCCAGATTTTTACATACTGCTCCTTTAAGCTTTACCGTATTAAGGAGCTCATGCAACACATTAAGAAGGCCAAACCTCGAGTCTTGAATAGAATCAACGTCATCTATTGTGATGAGTAATCCAAACCCTAGTAATTACAGAGTTGAGGAAAGATGCATCAGTAAACAAGGTTACTGTGTGGTTTGTTTTGAACCTTTAAATATCATGGTTAAGCTTGTCCGTTGAGACTGTATAATTGTTTAATCCTCTCTCAATATATGTGTTGTGAGCAACTTAAGAATAAATCATGTTATGGCTGGCTCAAGGCCATAACAAATAGTGAGGCAAAACAGGGGTGAAAAGTGCAAAAAAGTATAATTATAACCAAATGAGTATAACGTTTAACAAAAACAAGGTATGAGATGTGAGCGTGTAGTTATCAGTAGTGTGGGGCAGGTGTATGAGTGCAGTGAAAGCCAGTGTATGGTGTGAAGTGAGTGTAGTGGATAAAACAAAAGACTGACTTAGCAGCTCTCTGCTCCCAGCTGAAGAGATCCACTGATGAGGGGCGTGGCATAGTGCAGCTGTGTACCTGCACAGATGAGGAGACTGCAGAGAAGGCAGGCAAAATATAAATAAATTTAGTATAAATAAAAATACTAAATATAATGTACCATCCATAATTCCTTGAGCGATAACTCAATATTGTTTTTAGCATTATAGGCTACACTTGTATTCAATTTAATCACTAACCAAGTAATAATCATAATATTATTAATAATGCACCTAGTTTATAGGTTTTTTAAAAGACACTTTGATTCTTAATTCACTCCATACATAGTGCTGATAATCTGCTGTAGCCACAGCTGACTTTGAGTGGACTGACGGAAGCGGCCCCTTCGACCGCCACCAACCATTCACACACATGCACATACACATTCACACACACATTCATACTAGACAATGTAGAGGAAGTGTCTATGGACACAACGTTTAGCACTTTACGGCTGCAGCCGCTCTTCTGTGGCACCTGGTGTTCCCGGATGTCTCCCATCCCAGTGCAAACCAGGCTCTGCCTTACCCTCTGACATGCTGAGGTCTGATTGGATCAGGCTTTCAAATTCAGGTGGCTCTACACACAGTCATTTTAGTTGTAGAATATGTTGTAGACGGTGTCCTCTGCAAAGCCTGTGACAAATGCAAGTTACAAGAATCCTGCCATCAGCTGGGATAAGACATGGAGGCAGTTTCTCTGCATGTCACAGCAAGTCTGCTCTCCTGATACAAAAACTGGAGGAGGGGCTGTGAAACCCAAATACTGAGCATCTGCTTGTTATACACCGGTCTTGAACCTACAAACCCACAAACCAAATGTATCTGTCAGTGGCATAAAGTACTTTCAATGCAATGCACTGCATGTTTCAACATAACATTTTGACATGGACAGGTGTGAGGGGTCTTGCAGAGATCTGTAGACACATGAGGGAACTCATAAAACATGCATTCCAGCTGTGTTTTCTTCACACCTCCATGTCTCTGTGTCCTGCTCTGGCCCTGGCACATGATTTATGGTGTTATTGACTCCCAAACCCAAAGTCAACAACACGAGAGCAAGGCTCTCATCGCTTGTTGTTCCTTTTCCAATGCCATTAGCATCCTGTGCTTCACACACCTCTTACTGGAGGGCAGATATATTTTAAGTCTGTGATCCTTAGCACATCGCTGCACCTTTAGTCAACTGTGAAGAAATCCTTCAAAATATTCCATACAGATATCAGCTTTCTGACTGACAAGGCGTAAGTGTCTTTGTTTCATTTGACATTGTGACATGTTTTCTGACCACAAACATAAATGTTAGATTTTTTGGAAAGACTTCAACAAAGTAACAACCATATATACATTTGGATTCTGCTCTGCCAATTACCAATTTATTGTCAGACTTACATTTTTATTAAACATTTTTGAAATTGTAAAACTGATTTACTAACTGTTTTCGGCTGTTCACGAAGCATATGTGAATTAGCTTGACTAATTTGCATAATTGTTTACTTCAAAAATGAGATGACAAAGTAAATAGTCTCCTTATAATTTTGTATAGTCAATTATAATGTGTAGTATTTCTTCTTTAACACAAAGGTGCTGTATAACTCCATGATAGATTATTTGAATGCCCTTTGGGCTTTTTCTGTTTAAGGTCAAATAGTGATTGTGTGTTTGAAACATCAAGTATATCCCTGCCAGTGCAGTGTGTAATTAACTGAACAATGTGGACGCACTGATGTCATTGGAGCCTTGCTGTTGTGTCAAACCTGCTTTTATGTGCACACAGACTATCACGGGTTTAACGTTTCTCTTCTGGTGTGTGCACATTGTCCTTGAGCCCAAACTTGTAGAGCGCCACCTCAGCAGAACACGCTCCCTGTATTGAGCCCATAAATACACGGCTGCTGCAGAGATAGTGTTTCTGTTCAGAGTGCTGTCTGTAATGCTCTGGACTCACACAAACCATCATAACATGACACCGCACAATGTGATGCATAAACCATGAGCGCAGCTGTGTCATGTAATCCAATTTGAATGGAACGACAAACTGTTTTATCCAGTGATTTGTTTAAACTGGGCTCTGTGAAAGCTGATAAAAAATACTAATGATGATAACAAGATTTTTCTTTTGCTATGAACATGATCCTTGTTTTGAGTAATTTAGAGAGGTTAATACAACAACTTGTTGATCTCAAAAGGCTGCAAAAAACATTACACAAAACTCCTTTTGCAAGGTTTATGTTTGATCATCTTCCAATAATTTGGGTAATCAAGTCTCCTCAAGGAAGTTTTGAAAAACATGTTCACCGTGTGCCAACTCTGAACTATGTCATTTGAAATAAAAAGAAGAGAAATCATGTTCAATAAAAACTTGTCTGTTAGTATCTTTAAAAGAGGAGCTATCAGAGTTGCTCACCAGCCTTAAGCTTAAAGTGCAAGTAAAAGCCTTGTTAAAATGATAGCATTGTCAATTGCCATGAATTATTTTTTTCATTAAATTCTGTTAACTTACAATTGATTCTCATTATGCGTAATACATTCTCATTATATTGTACTATAGCCTTAGTGTGAGATATTAGCACCTGTTTTTCTAACTCTTCAGTGTGATTGTGCTCCTGTGGCATCTTCTAAACCTCTGGGTCCATGGTCCTTTCGCTTCAGGTGGTCCCAGTGTCAGGCAGTCTGAACGGCGTGCCCATTCCCTCCGGCCTTTCCGAGCTGAAGGGCCTGAGGAGCAGTGTGTCCGTGGCTCCGGCCGATTTCCCCGAGCGCCCCGAGGTGACCCTGCGCAGGGAGGTGAGCAGCTGCACCTTGAAGACGGAGGTTCCTCTGCACCTGCTCAGCACCACCAACCAGCACAAGTCCGTGAACGTGTCTCAGCAGATCCCCACCAAGCTGGCTGCGCTCAGCAGTGTGAAGGCCAGCAAGCCCAAGAGCGGGAAGGCCTCCCATAGGTCTGACAGCACAGGTATCGAAGTGTCATGCTGTGGATTCTTATATTCTTACCTTCCAGCATTTCAATTCAATTTATTTTTGTCTAGCCCAAAATCACAACAGTAGTCGTCTCAGAGGACTTTACAATATATACAGAAGAAACAGTTCAAACACATTAAATGCAATAATAACAAACACATAGGAGCCATTGGTCCATAGGGGGCGCAAGACCAATGTCCATAAATGTCCTTAAAAGTCCTGGATCATCACCACTGTCCTTAGACCAGGCATGTCTCAGGGCCGCCATTTTATTGTATGTGACCCTTCTGCTGCTAACACATCCAACCAACTTCAGCTCCACCTATACAGTCATGCTATACCTTGTTTTAAATCTCAGACCCTCTGGAATCCAGTCTCAACAACTATTGTTATTTACTGACATTTGTTTTTTGATTGTGTCACAACATTCCACAGAAAGGCAGCTATGGTGGAATCAATAAGGACGTATAATTTCAGAATCCAGTCAAGCCAGTTCTTAAATCCATGTTGACGGCCCTAGGTCAAGTCTGATGAACTAAAGTGGCCCTCTTACTCAAAAGTTTGGACACCCTTGCCTTAGACCCTCCTGCAGCCATATATACATACATTTTTGGACACAACATTCAATAAGGGTACACAAAAGCTTGGCCCTGATTTAATTCTTTTATCATTTTTTGCTAATCACATATTTTCTTTTTAATGGCCTTTCTCTTTAGAGCATTGTTCCGGATCGGGTTTTGTAGTTGTGCATATTTGTCCAATCCCATTTGCATCCCGGCCATCTGTGTCTGACATGAGTTTGACCGGAGCCTCCTGACTTAAGTGGTTCATTAGGATCACATTAGATGTCTAAATTAGGTCAGCCTTTGAGATATTGTGTGGTGGCCTGCTCTTGTTGAAAGTCAATCTAATTGTTCAATCTAATCTCCTGTCTCATGCCGTCTTTACTCGTGCCCCTCAGCGTCCATGGACATGAAGCAGATGCTACCTCTGAAGCTGTCCGCTCGAGAGGACAGTTCCCTGAAGGCCAAGCGCTCCATCAGCCCCCATCAGCCCCTGTCCGTGTCCTCGTCCCCCCTTCCCCTCGCAGGTACTGGACACTCCTCATGCTGTGCTTTCATCTGGCTGCACCCGCCATAGCCTGTCCCTGTGTAAACACTGCTCCGGTTCACACGCCTCTGTCTGTGAATCATGACCTCCACCGCTCGCAATATCCTCGGCTTTGAAGGAGTTTAAACACATGACAACTATTACACAAGTAAAACAAATGCTTGCGCAAATGACAGGGTAAACTACCGCCATTTCACTCAATCAATCAAACACATTAGAATGCTTCAGAATGACTGCTATACGCTGCACTATTTTGGCAAAAAATAATTTCAATTTTTCTGAGCAACAATGATTTTCCGATTCAATTTTTCATATCCTGTTTGAAAAGTCAAATTTTGTTCAGAATAAAAACGGCAACTTCAAGCGAGTTCCATTTGAAAATTCCATACGCAATCCCACACATTTCTAACCTTCAGTACAACTTGCTTGAGTGAAGTTGTTTTTATCTTTCCCCACAAAATTCAAAAAATGAGACCTGAGTTGCGCAACACATTTTGACATGCACCGGTAGTAAAAAATATGAGACGTGTATTAGCAAATAGCTGAAGTATGAGCTATTTGCTATTAGCCCATGCAGCCCTAAAACAGACCATTGAAACACACGGCTTGTCCTTTGATTGGATAATTCAAATTAAATACTGTTAGTCTTTACAGCACTTTACAACCAGGATTAAGATAATAATAATAATAATAATAATAATACATTTTATTTATATTGCGCTTTACATTTCAAAGAAACCTCAAAGATAAATTGATAAATACAGTCTTAATAAGAGATCCTTTATACGTCCCACACTTGGGAAATGTCAGTGTTGCTAAAATTACGGAACAGTAGGAATGAGCTCACAGCACCAGGTAAATGAACACAGCACAGGATACGATAAATGAGCTCTCTACTAAAAAAACTTGAAATAAAATATCTAGCTTTAGCATAATATGGAGCAATCTACTGTATAATCTATAATAAGCTGCAAGAATTAAGCACAAAAACTCTGACTTACTTAAGCATTGTAAAGAAGCAAGTATTTCCTGTATATTATAGTGCAGAAATATACAGTTGTATGTATACGTCTGTAACTGTTAACAGCACAAGGGTCTGGGACAAAGTGACAGTGGACACATGTGGTTTCATTCTGCACATTCTGACATTATAACAAGGGGAAAACACGTCAAACACACTTTTATTTTTTATTTGATCGGGACAACACATTAATGAACAATCATATACAAGTTGTACACAAATTATAAATGTGTCAGATTATAGAAAAGCTGCTAAACATATCTGCTAACCTAACCATGTCTGTTTCTCTCAGATCCCCTGAGCCCACCGGACAGTGCAGGGCCTGACTGCACCACGTCCCTCCTCACCTCTCCTCCAGCAGTCACCCACAAACCCCCCTCTACGCAGCCCCCACTCTCCGTGCACTCCTTGGGCTCGGGCTCCTTCCTCTTCCAGCACCAGCCTCCGCCTCCGTACCAAGGGACCAGCGAGGACACCAAGGAGGACGTCATCTTCTTCTAACGCACAAACACATCCCCCTGCGTCCACCGCTTTCATTTCAGTCCAAATCCTCTGCGTGAAGTAGCAACCGTCATGTCTTCAGCTTTCCAATGCCGCTTATGTCTGAGCATGTGTTGAAATAACCGTCTATCATGAAGGATTTTGCGTGCGCAGATTTGAGCTCAAGACAAAGTGAACGCAAACAACTTCAGCGCTGGTTTCGGATCTCCACAAAGTCTCAGTAATCTCGGTTCATTCTCGCTCCCGACGTCTTGTATTTGCACTGCGTAAACACACCGCTCCTGATTTCATTTGGGATACTTCAGCGGAGAGGTCTGTTTGTCTTATGTTGCACAAATCTATAAACATTCATATCATTATGTTCTTAATTGTGACTGCGCCCGAAGGCTAAAGATAAAGTCTTGTGAAACCCAGCGGCTTTTGCGAGAGACCAGGATTTGACTCTTTCCCAGATGATTGCTTAAGGATCACTTTTTACTCCAGTTGAATTTGACTTTGGATTTTAAACTATATGCAACTAAAAGACATTTGTTTTCACTGTTGATTCGGCAAATGCAAAATGAAAAGACCGTTTTAATGTCTTAGTTTGCTTCATAGTCGGTAACATGAAGATCTTAAGCAGCTTTATGTAAAATATGTATTGACTGTACATAGCTCAGACTGCTGCCTCCGCCACCCAGCCCCAGATGAAGCAGAAGAATATTGTGCGATGGGTGCATTGGCTTTTGTATTTGTGTCTTGCTGTCTTTAATCACATGTTTTATGAACGAGAAACACTGTAGAAATGGTTAATATATACTTGATTACACATGTAGCTGTGTACGTACGGTAATCCACGTCACTTAGTGCTGTGAAATTGGTATGTTCTTTTTGAATGTACTTGGTACTTTTGACTCGTGATGTTATGACGATTCTTTTATGTATTTGGTTCAGTTAAAGACCAAAGCTTTGTGATTCCAAGAAGTTTCTTTCCATAAACATGTAGCGAACATATTTCCTTAATATTTCATTTGTATGCCATATGTACCTATGTGCACTGCTGGCCACTTGTGATTGTCTGGTCTCAACATCGGACATTTCTCTGCTAAGTTTCTTGTCCGGTTGTAACTTATTGTCACATCACTGTTGTGTTACTCTGACACATATTGGACCTGTAACTTGTAAATAATATTTTATTTTATTTCCTTGGCCAATCTACACTAGGCACTTTGGATAGTAGTATACTTGAAGGCTTAAATGAATGTTTTTATTTCTCTTTTTGTTGATCTTTTATTTACCAAGAACTGTTAAATGGCCATGTAGCACACAGCTGACTTTCATATTGTTTAATTTTATTCACTGAGATGTTAGAACAACCTTTGGACACCAACTAGACAAACCTTAGAAATAAAGATGTTGCCATGAAGTGTGTTGTTGTGGCAGTCACATTATTATGATTGAAGGATTAAGTGTGCGTCTTGAACATGTAATATAGCTCCTATTTATGTCTGATCCAAATAATCCCGACCACCCATCGGTGCTCTCCTTGTCATTGTAGAGGGCTGTTGGAATGTGAGTAGACACATAATAACAGCCTGTCCCAGACCGTACTGCGGTGGCTGGTTCTTCTTGCAGCAGGGTGGACATCACTGCTTATTGTTACGGAGCCTGGGAATACTTCAGTGTGTAGTGGCCACTTTTATTGTCTGCTGTCATTAGTGGCTTTTCTGTCTCCTTTCAAAGCTGTTTTTTTCCAGGCATCTTCCTGCTTTTCTTTGCCACAATCATCTAAGCCCAGACTGAGGTGTTGTATGTAATCCGTAGATTAGACAGATGAGATTTCAGGCTCTTCTTTCTCTGTACTTCTGACGCCAGTCCATACTCAGTCAGACACTGGACACGAGGGATGCACTGTTTCAGCTCCTATACCAATGTTGACTCCTGCAATCAAAGAAGATTTTGTTCAATGATACAAAGGGCTGTGTGTGTCCTGCCCGCACTTAGAGATAAAACATTGTAAAACATTCCTGAGGCAAGGCCATCTCTTACGTAAAATAAATGAGTTGTATCTCTGTGTAAATACAAAACAGTAAGGTCTAATAAACTGCCATGTGATATGCAGAGCCTTAATAAGTGAGATCTGTGTCTTGGTTTACGTTGGAAGAATGAAACTCTGTTCCTTAGACCCTCATCTGATCTTCCGTCTTGTATCAACAAAAGCCAGAGCCGTGTAACAGCAGCACTGAGAGCTCTCACAAAGGAACACTCCTGGAACCAGGACGGGGATCAGGTGAACACTGGGGCATCAGTGACTGCACCAGGGCAATATTAGAAGTGTGCTCTCTGGCCCCTTGTCCTTTGGCTCTAGTTCCTCTGGACCTGAAGGTAACGGAACCTTTGTGGCAGATCAGACTGCTCCCAGAGAAGCAACACCACATTCTCAGCCATCTTTGCTCGATTACTCTCATGTTTAGTCTGAGTATTGCACAAAACAGGAAGCAGCAGTGTTCTGTCCATAACACGCTCTTCAGAGGAACAAGGCAGAAACAAAATGAGTCAAACATGACTGTGATGTAGAACTTCTGAGGCAATGTTAAACTATTCAGAACAAAAGGGATATCGTGGCTTGAGCAGTCAGATTGCCCATTGTTAAAGGTCCCATATTGTGCTCTTCTTCATTTATTCACAGTCCATTCTAAGCACATGTGTAATAATAATTTGGGTTGATACAACACAACTCACGTCTGACATTTACAACAAAAATTGTGTATTTCAAGATGGAACATCCACATGGAGCGTCTTCCAGCGCTCGTGAATATTAAATACACAGTATTTATATAATCTTAAACAGGTCACATTTGGTGATTGGTTAACATTCGTAAATCGATGGTACCTTTAAGCAAGTCAACTTTTATTTTCCCTGATCCGGCAGACAAATAAAGAGCAGAGCCTCATAAAGGGAAGCCCATAGACTTAGATCCTGTTTGTAGGAGGCCTTCACGGAGCCTCATTGTTCACAGAGCTGTGTGTGAGGTCTGTGTGCGGCTCACATGGGCCATAAACTACTTCCTTCACACTCTTTCTGCTGAAGCTGAAGTCAGCGCCAAAGCAAACACCGACCTGGAAGTGAGCGTGGAAAAACTCCTCCACCGGCTCCTTTGTTTATCTTGCAAAAGACATGACAGTTGTAAAGTGTTGGACTGTGAGAGGAAGCTGGGCAAGAAGATGAACATTTGAACAACATGGATATTTATATTAAAAGCAAATCCAAACACATCTTTCTTTATTCAACATTTAACACTGATGGAGTTCCTCTTTTACCATGAACTTGTGCACATTTCGTTAGTGACTGCTCGAATGCTTTGAAACAATGTCAACATTTGTGTTAGAGATTGCCATGAAAAACAACTGTTTTTGCTCAAATATTCTTGGGAATTATTATTATTTCTTCTTCTGGGGTTTGATCCTTATTTGACCTCATAAACATGCACAACAACTCAATGCTCAAAGTAAAATTTTTTTGCCTGTATCTCTATAACTGAATAGAATAATAAAAGAATAGAATAACATTTACATTGGAATTTTAAAGGTTTGTGAGATATCATTACAAAAGAATGTGGCAAACAACAAAGCTGTGTCATTAGTCATCTCTGGCCAACGGTCAAACTCATAAATGAAACATAACATAGTTTACAATAATGAAATGCTGCTGTAAATAGTTGATGAGGCGGTCGTGTTGATTCCGCAGTCTCTAAAGATAATGACTGATTGTGGCGTCCGTAAACAAGCGCTTGTATCGTGTCCTTATTAATAATAGATAGAGTTCTCAGCTTTAGTGGAAACAGCACAGTTCCAGCACAAGGCAGTTCCAAGTGCAAGAGAAAGGAAACAAGGCGTTAAAACCATAAATAATAACAGTATATTCAAAATAGTGTGGAAACCTCGGTTCTATTCACAGCTAAGAATAACAGTTTTTAACTTTGATTTGAACCTTGTCAGAAAAGAAGCCAGTCTCACATTTTCAGGAAGATGTGAGTGTACTTCTAACATTGCAGGTGATTAGGCCGGTCATACTATTTGTAAACCTAAAGTTGCAAAACTCAGATGTTGTCGTACATAATAAAATAATGCATTAAATGTGTTTTAGTTGAGCAGAGCGGTTGATGAACTTAAATGATGTCTTTAAATGTTTTAATTTAATTTGTTTTTATTTTTTTACATATTGACATGTTTGTCTCATGTACCTGAATATGTGTGTGAACATAAATATATAAACAATAGTCAGTTTTTCCTACACGATAGTATTTTTTTCTATAGTATTTTGTTGAGCCCTTTGAGTTGCCTTGTGTATGAACTGTGCTATACAGAAAAAATGGCCTTGCCTTTCCGTGTTTCCATACTAATATATTTTGCACAAACTTAGCCTGCCATTTTACTATTCATGTTTGTGCTTTGTCCCTGATCAAATAATATGGATTCAAATTGTCTGGATGCAAATAAATCTGACCCAGGGCTGTGGTCTGTCTGAAACTCCACTTAATATGTGCATTGAACCAGTGTGTGTGTGTGTGTGTGTGTGTGTGTGTGTGTGTGTGTGTGTCTGTGTGTGTCTGTGTGTGTTTGTGTGTTCCCTGTGAGTGTGCGTGGATGGGGAGGAGGGGCCACACTCACAGATGCTGTTGACCCTCTCGTCCCGTTGTCTCTGGACCCAGTGTCACGTCTCATATGAGCAGCTCTCCGCAGACGTCCCAGCAGCAGAAGGTGTCCCACATGTGCGTTCATGACTCCTGTGTCCGTTTATATCTGCGATCACTTTGTGCGTTGGTTGAAAGAGGCTCTGTCATTTTATATCTGGCTCCAGACAGCTCAAGTCTGAAACTGGCCTTAAAGGCAGTTCCAAGAGTTCTTTCATATAGACAGAGGGTGTTGTTCGGAAAACATTATTATGGCAGAATGTGAGTTACTGTAAATTTAGGTTTTTTTGCACTTTCCTTTATTCGTCCCACAGTGGGGAAATTTCA